GGCAGGAGAATTGCTTGAGCCTGGGAGGTGGAGGTTGCAGTGAGCCGAGATCGTGCCATTGCACTCTAGCCTGGGTGACAAGAGTGAGACTTCGTCTCAAAAAAAAAAAAAATTAATTAAAAATAAATAAATAAATAGGCCAGGTACAGTGGCTCACACCTGTAATCTCAGCACTTTGGGAGGCCGAGGCGGGCAGATCAGCTGAGGTCAGGAGTTCGAGATCAGCTTGGCTAACATGCTGAAAAACGTTTCTACTAAAAATACAAAAAATTAGCCGAGTATGGTGGCGTGTGCCTGTAATCCCAGCTACTTGGGAGGCTGAGGCAGGAGAAGCTCTTAAACCCGGGAGGCAGAGGTTGCAGTGAGCCGAGATTATGCCATTGCACTCCAGCTTGGGTGACAAGAGTGAAACGCCGTCTCAAAATAATAATAATAATAATAATAATAAATAAAGTCAGTATAAAATACATTTTTGGACTGGGTGGAGTGGCTCACACCTGTAATCCCAGCACTTTGGGAGGCTGAGGTGGGCGGATCACCTAAGGTCAGGAGTTAAAAGACCAGCCTGAGCGACATGGTGAAACCCCGGCTCTACTAAAAATCAAAATTAGCCAAGCATGGTGGCACATGCCTGAAATCCCAGCTACTCGGTAGGCTGAGGCAGAAGACTTGCTTGAACCTGGGAGGCAGAGGTTGTAATGAGCCGAGGTCATGCCATTGCATTCTAGCTGGGGAAACAAGAGCAAAACTCCATCTCAAAACAAAAACAAAAACATATATATATATAAAATTTGGCTTATAACCTTCCCCTTTACATAGGCCGGGTTTGGTGGCTCATGCCTGTAATCCCAGGCATGAGCCTCCTTTGGGAGGCTGAGGCAGGTGGATCACAAGGTCAGGAATTCAAGACCAGCCTGGCCAATATGGTGAAACCCTGCCTCTACTAAAAAAATACTAAATTAGCCGGGTGTTGTGGTGCACACCTGTAATCCTGGAACCCAGGAGGTGGAGGTTGCAGTGAGCTGAGATCGCGCCACAGCACTCCAGCCTAGGTCACAGAGCAAGATTGCATCTCAAATAAATAAATAAATAAATGCAACTACATAAAACTGTAATTATAAATCTATGCTGATGGGCATAATGTATAAAGCTGAATATGTAACAATAACAATATGGGAGGGGAGATAAAGCTATATAACAGTAAGGTTTTTGTATACTATTGAAACTAAGTTGGTATTAATTCACCTAGATTGTTATAAATTAAGATGTTAATTTTACTTTCCAGGGCAATCATTAAGAAATTAACGGCCAGGCGCGGTGGCTCAAGCCTGTAATCCCAGCACTTTGGGAGGCCAAGACGGGCGGATCACGAGGTCAGGAGATCGAGACCATCCTGGCTAATATGGTGAAACCCCGTCTCTACTAAAAAATACAAAAAACTAGCTGGGCGAGGTGGCGGGCACCTGTAGTCCTAGCTACTTGGGAGGCTGAGGCAGGAGAATGGCGTGAACCCAGGAGGCGGAGCTTGCAGTGAGCTGAGATCTGGCCACTGCACTCCAGCCTGGGCAACAGAGCGAGACTCCATCTCAAAAAAACAAAAAAAAAAAAAAAAAGAAAGAAAGAAATTAACTTTACAAAAATGTCAATCAAAATGATAATCATTTGATTGTGGCTGAGCAAGGTGGCTCACACCTGTAATCCTAACACTTTGGGAGGCCAAGGCAGGCCTGAGCAACACAGCAAAATCCCGTGACTACAAAAAATACAAAAAATTAGCTGGGTGTGGTGGTATGCATCTGTTAGTTCCAGCTATGTGGCAGGCTGAGGTAGGAGGATCACTTGAGCCCAGGAGGTCAAAGCTGCAGTGAGCCGTGATTGGGCCACTGCACACCAGCCTGAGTGACACAGTGAGACCCTGTCTCAAAAAAAAAAAAAAAAAAAAAAAAAGATATTACTTCACACCTACTAGAATGGCTGTAATTAAAAAACAAAAGAGAAATTAACTGTTGGGGAGGATATGGAGAAATCTGAACCTTGCTGGTACAAACGTACAATGTTGCAGCAGCTGGAGGGAACAGTTCAGTGATTCTTCAAAAAGTTAAAGACACTGAATTATATGACCCAGCAATTCTGTTAGCAGCATAATCAATTCAATCTGGTTCAACCTTTGTGTAACAAAGTTCTGAGTGGTTTCTCAGTGGACCCCCAGGTTGCAAGTTACATAACCTAAGCATGCCCAGATGAGCCAAATGTGCCCCATTGGACTTAGGAGCCAGGACGAATGAAAAAGTTCATCACGAGCAGAACCAAAGTGCTTGGATCAAGGAACGGGGACCAAATTCAGAAACAAGGAGTACCCTATTTTGTTGCAGTGCAGACTTAAGAGCCAAGGACCCTCAGCATGACCCAATCAGATCATATCTCATTGCATTTTTTCTTTTTCTTTTTTTTTTTTTTTTGATGGAGTCTTACTTTGTCTCCCAGGCTGGAGGGCAGTGGCGCAATCTCAGCTCATTGCAACCTCCACCTCCCAAGTTCAAGTGATTCTCCTGCCTCAGCCTCCCAAGTAGCTGGGACCACAGGTGTGCACCACCATGCCTGGCTAATTTTTGTATTTTTAGTAGAGATGAGGTTTCACCATGTTTGTTAGGTTGGTCTTGAACTCCTGACCTCAAGTGATCCACCCACCTGGGCCTCCCAAAGTGTTGAGATTATAGGCGTGAGCCACCACACCTGGCCTACCTCATTGCATTTTCCTATCTTCCTCATTGTAACTATCTGCCTATAAAACCTGTCCCCATTCTCCAGCTCAGGCAGACAGATTTGAGCATGGCAAGTCAACTTTGTAATAAAGGTTTCTATTTTCTCAAAAGCAAGTGCCATGGTATTGTTACTGGTGAAGGGTCTTGACTAGGTTGTCCAGGTCTTGATGAGTTGTCCACGTTCTTGGTGTGTTGAACAAAGAATTGAACGAAACGCACAAACAAAGCAACAAAAGAATGAAGCACAATAAATACTTTCGATTTATTGAAGCGAAAGTACACGCCACAGAGGGGAGCTGGCTTGAGCAAGCAGCTCAAGAGCTCCTGGCTGCAAAATCTTCTGGAGTTTAAGTACCCTTTAGAAGTTTCCTATTGGTTACACCCTATGTAGATGAAGACTTGGCCCCTGACCAATTGGGAGCTGAAGTAAGTTACACTCTATGCAAATAAAGACTTGGCCTGCAACTAATCAGAGGCTGAAGTGAAGGCTCCCTGTCTCCACACCCTATTCTCCTGCCTCAGTATTGGCTTCTATGCCTATCAGGCAGTGAGCCCTTGCTCCATAACAATTTCACTTCTGGGTGTACTTTATACTCCACAGAACTGAAACTTAAAGTGGAAATAACCCAAATGTCTACCAGGTGATGAACTGATAACTAAAATGGGATATATCTATACCACAGAATATTACTCAGCAATGAAAAGGTATGAAGTATTAATACATGCTATAACATGGAGAATCCTTGGAAACATTATGCTAAGTGAAAGAAATCAGACACAAAAGGTCACATATTGTATAATTCCATTTATATGAAATGTCCAAAATAGGCAAATCCATAGAAACAAAAAGTAGATTTGTGGTTTCCAGGGGCTGGGAAGAGGGGAAAATTGAAGTGATTGCTTAATAGTTACAGGGTTTCTTTCTGGGCTAATGAAAATGTTCTGGAACTATATAGTGGTAATGTCTGTATAACCCTGTAAACATATTAAAAGCCACTGAATTGTATACTTTAAAATGAATAAAATGGTGAATTTTATGCTATGTAAATATACCTCAATTAGAAAAAAATTTGCCCAGCATGGTAGCTCAACACCTGTAATCCCAGCCCTCTTGGAGGCTGAGGCAGAAGGATTGCTTGAGGCCAGGGGTTCAAAACCAGCCTGGGTAACATAGCAAGACCCAGTTTAAAAAAAAATAAGATAGCCAGCACAGTGACACATGCCTGTAATCTTAACTACTCAGGAGGCTGAGGCAGGAGGGTCACTTGAGTTCAGGAGGCTGAAGCTACAGTGAGCTATGATCAGAACTGCACTCCAGCCTGGGCCACAAGAGTGAGACTTTGGTTTTTTTGTTTTGTTTTGTTTTTTTGTTTTTTTGTTTTTTTTGAGGTGGAGTTTCACTCTTGTGGCCCAGGATGGAGTGCAATGGTGCAATCTCAGCTCACCACAACCTCCGCCTCCCGGGTTCAAGTGATTCTCCTGCCTCAGCCTCCTGCATAGCTGGGATTATAGGCATGCACCACCACGCCCGGCTAATTTTTGCATTTTTAGTAGAGATGGGTTTTCTCCATGTTGGTCAAGCTGGTCTCAAACTCCTGACCTCAGGTGATCCACCCGCCTAGGCCTCCCAAAGTGCTGGGATTACAGGCATGAGCCACCGCACCTGGCCTGAGACCATCTTTTTTTTTTTTTTTTTTTTTGAGACGGAGTCTCGCTTCGCACCCAGCCTGAGACCATCTTTTAAACATAAATAAATAAATGAATAAAATAACTGAGTTACACACTTAAAATGGATCCTTTTTATTATAGGTAAATTATACCTCAATAGTGTTTTTTAAAAAATGTTAATGATACCAGGTTCTTATTCAGGAATGTTTTGGCTCTTTTCTGTCATTTTCTCTTCTGCATCAATCTTAGACTCAACTTTTAAAATTCCTCCAAATGCCTGTACTTGTTCAAATTAATGTTGGTTTTGAATAACAAAAAACCTGAAATAATCGTGGTTTAAACAACAAAGAAGCTTATTTTTCTCTGTTTCTGTTCCTGGAACAGGTCAACTTCTTTTCTGCTTAAAGTCTTGGCACACATGATTCTCTCTTTACCTGAAACTCTTCTCACTCTCCTTGTACAATTGGCTCCTCCTATACTTAAAGTCCTTACCTGTCATGTTCTTAGAAAGACCTCCCTTGACCAGGGACTGAGGTGGTCTCCCTTTTTTATTTTCTTCTTTTTTTTCCATGTCAGACAGGTCATGTGCATGGAACAATGTTTGAGGGTAGCACATCTCACCCCTGTGCATGAACACGCATTCTTCACACTTAGGAACTACAAAAGGATTTCTTTGTTATTTTCTTCCCTTTTTTTGAGACAGTTTTGCTCTCGTTGCCCAGGCTCAAGTGCAGTGGCACAATCTCGGCTCACTGCAATCTCCGCCTCCCGGGTTCAAGCAATTCTCCTGCCTCAAACTCCGGAGTAGCTGGGATTACAGGCATGCGCCAGCACCCTTGGCTAATACTGTATTTTTAGTAGAGATGGGGGTTTCTCCATGTTGGTCAGGCTGGTCTCAAACTCCCAACCTCAGGTGATTCGCCCGCCTCGGCCTCCCAAAGTGCTGGGATTACAGGTATGAGCCACCGCACCTGGCCTTGTTATTTTCTATCACAGTACTCTGATTATTTACTTCACAATTTTCATTCATTTACCTAACAATTATTTACTAAAAACGTTCTGTATGAAAGATTCAGGCCGGGAGCAATGACTCATGCCTGTAATCCCAGCAATTTGGGAGGTGGAGGTGGGTGGATCACCCATCTCTACTAAAAACACAAAAAAATTAGCCAGGCATGGTGGTGCATGCCTGTAATTCCAGCTACTTGGGAGGCTGAGGTAGGAGAATTGCTTGAATTGCTTGAAACCTGGGAGAATATTATTTTCATCCTATTCAAGATTAGGGACATAAATGAGGCAATCACCTCAAAGAATGATAAACCTGATTAGAAAACGGAATTGTTAGCCATTACCAAATAAAATAAATCAAATACATTTTTTTAATCTCAAAAAGCTCAAGGCCGGGCACAGTGGTCCATGCCTGTAATCCCAGCAGTTTGGGAGGCTGAAGCGGGTGGATCACTTGAGGTCAGGAGTTTGAGACCAGCCTGGCCAAGGTGATGAAACTCCACCTCTACCAAAAAATACAAAAGTTAGTTGGGTGTGGTGGCATGCACCTGTAGTCCCAGCTACTCAGGAGGTTGGGGTGGGAGAATCACTTAAACCAGGGAAGCGGCCGGGCGCAGTGGCTCACGCCTGTAATCCCAGCACTTTGGGAGGCCAAGGAGGGTGGATCATGAGGTCAGGAGTTCAAGACCAGCCTGGCCAAGATGCTGAAACCCCATCTCTACTAAAAATACAAAAAAATTAGCTGGGTGTGATGGTGGGCACCTGCAATCCCAGCTACTCAGGAGGCTGAAGCAGAGAATTGCTTGAACGTGGGAGGTGGAGGTTGCAGTGAGCTGAGATCGTGCCACTGTACTCCAGCCTGGGCGACAGAGCAAGACTATGTCTCAAAAAAACAAAACAAAAACAAAAACAAAAACAAAAATCAGGGAAGCAGAGGTTGCAGTGAGCTGAAATCATGCCACTGCACCCTAGTTTGGGCGACAGAGTGGGATGCTCTGTATTAGTCCATTTTCACACTGCTGATAAAGACACACCCGAGACTGGGTAATTTATAAAGAAAAAGAGGCTTAATGGACTCATAGTTCCTCGTGGCTGGGGAGGCCTCACAATCATGGTGGAAGATTAAAGGCACGTCTTACATGGTGGCAGATGAGACAGAATTAGAGCTAAGCGAAAGGGGAAACACCTTATAAAACCATCAGATCTCATGAGACTTATTCACTACCACGAGAACAGTATGGGGAAACCGCCCCTATGATTCATTTACCTGCCACTGGGTCCTTCCCACAATTCATAAGAATTACAGAAGCTACAATTTAAGATGAGATTTGAGTGGCGATACAGCCAAACCATATAACCCTGTCTCAAAAAAGAAAAGAACAGAACAGAACAGAACTCAGTCTCCAGCTCCCAGCAAGCAGGCAGGCCTCATTTCTGCATCTCAGTAAGGATCCTCTGACATACAAACTTCATATTTTTCTCCATGTTCCTACTACACATAGAGTGGTCCTACATTGTCCAAACTGGAACGTTTTAGAGAGATAACAGGAAGACACTGAACATGTGAATGAAAAATGGCCAGACCATATGCAAAAATAGAACTCTACTCACAATCTGCAACCAGACCAGAAAACCAATCTATCATCTACAAATCAGACATGTAGGAAGTTAGATCACTATCACTAGGAAACAATCCAGGAACCCAGCAACAACCCCTGTAACAAATGGCCCCAGATGGCAAGAACTTTATTAAAAAATGATAGCTTTTTAAATTTTTGGACCTGCTGTCAACATAGGACCAAAAGAAAACCAACTGTGCATCCCAACCAAACACATAGGATGCTCTGCTAGTTCTAGTTACCCCACCTATAGCTTCCCTATGACAACAGTCTTCAGTTAGGGCACACCTGAAGCCTTCCTCTATTCCCCACTGTAAAGTTTTCCCACTTCTCTGTTTTTGAGGCTCTGACAAAACGCAAGTGATGGTGGCTGACTCCCTTGTTATAGCAAACTCTGAACAAATAGTCTTCACCTCTTCTCATGTAGTCTTCAAATAGTCTTCATGTATTTCCACAAAGGGGATACTAGTAATAATTTTGCTGAATCAACAGGCAAAAATCAGGACCGTCCTGAGCAAATCTGGACATAAATCACCCTAGTTATGAAGCACAATTAGACCAGAAGCTGTTTGCTAGTGAAATACTGTATGAGGTTTAGGGGAATGAAAGTGTGAAAGACAAAAGATAAAATATGCCACCACCACTAGGTGGGGTTACACCACCACTGAAGAATGGAGGATGTTTCAATTAAAAAGGGAAGTGCTTGAAGTGTATCTGCTCTTAGGTTACTGTTCAGTAATCTTTTTGGTTTTGATGAATGATACTGTAAATCCAAACATTGGAATCAATGTAAAATGGTCTTCAGGGCAATAATTGATGAGCTAATTCCAACGGGAAATGTTTGAGCATATTATCATCTAGTATTAATTCACTTTCAATTATTGCCTTCTGCACCTGAAGCAGTAATGAGATGAACAACACATTCCCTGCCTTTAAGAAGGTGGCTGGGTGCCGTGGCTCACGCCTGTAATCCCAGCACTTTGAGAGGCCGAGGCAGGCGAATCACAAGGTCAGGAGTTTGAGACCAGCTTGGCCAATATGGTGAAACCCCGTCTTTACTAAAAATACAAAAATTAGCTGGGCATGGTGGCGTGCACCTGGAGTCCCAGCTACTTGGGAGGCTGAGGCAGAAGAACCGCTTGAACCTGGGAGGCCGAGGTTACAGTGAGGCAAGATTATACCACTGCACTCTAGTCTGGCGACAGAGTGAGACACCACCTCAAAAAAAAAAAAAAAAGGAATAAGAAGGCAGCATTCTAGAGTACTTCAAGTTTACATACGAAGGGCTGGTTACATAAGTTGTAAGACCCAGTACAAAATGAAAATAAGGGACAGCTTTTTCAGAAGGTATTTCAAGATGGCAACAGTAGAGCATTAAACCACCTGTGGGGCCCTTCTGAGGACAGGGCCATGTGACTGCACAGGTCACATACCCATGAAATCAACCCTAAGTGTAGGATAGTATTCTATAACAAATTATAGACGAATAAACTATGTTGCCTAGTACACGTCGTGATGCTACTAGGCCTTTCAATGTGGTTATTTGTTTGTTTATTTGAGATGGAGTTTTGCTCTTGTTGCCCAGGCTGGAGTGCAATGGCATGATCTCAGCTCGCTGCAGCCTCTGCCTCCCAGGTTCAAGTGATTCTCCTGCCTCAGCCTCACAAGTAGCTAGAATTACAGGCATGTGCCACCATGCCCAGATAATTTTGTATTTTTAAGTAGAGACAGGGGTTCACCACATTGGTCAGGCTGGTCTTGAACTCCTGACCTCAGGTGATCCACCTGCCTCTGCCTCCCAAAGTGCTCGGATTATAGGCATAAGCCACCATGCCCGGCCTCAGTGTGTTTTCATTCTATGTTGGACATTTGGCATGCAAAGAATTACATTTCATTTTAAAAATTACTAAGCATTGACTACATTTGTACTATATGCTGTAGAGAATCTTTCCTAACATTTAATGTAATCAAGCATATAAATAATCTAATTTTTAAAATGTTATAAAAAGTTACAGTTATAATTCTTCCACTTTTCCCCACAAGCCTAAAGCGCAGAGCAGAGACTGAAACTGGTAGGCACTCAATATACACTTGTCAAATGAATGCAAGGAGGCTGGAAAGTCCCATATCAAGGAGTTGTTATTTGGTGAGGGCCTTCTTGCTGTGTCATCCCATGGCAAAAGGCAGAATGGCAAAAGAGCCAAATTTTACTCACCTTAAAAGTGAAGGAAAGGCCAGGTGCAGTGGCTCATACCTGTAATTCCAGCACTTTAGGAGGCCAAGGCAGGTGGATCACCTGAGGTCAGGAGTTCGAGATCAGCCTGGCCAACATGGCAAAATGCCATTTCTACTAAAAATACAAAAAATTAGCCGGGCATGGTGGCACATACCTGTAGTCCCAACTACTCAGGAGGCTGAGGTGTTAGAATCTCTTGAATCCAGGAGGTGAAGGTTGCAGTGAGCCAAGATTGTGCCACTGCACTCCAGCCTGGGCAACACAGCAAGACTCCTTCTAAAAAAAAAAAGAAGAAAAGAAGGAAATTCTTTTTTTTTTTTTTTTTTTTTTGAGACAGAGTCTCGCTCTGTCGCCCAGGCTGGAGTGCAGTGGCGCAATCTCGGCTCACTGCAAGCTCCGCCTCCCGGGTTCACGCCATTCTCCTGCCTCAGCCTCCCGAGTAGCTGGGACTACAGGCGCCCGCCCCTGCGCCCGGCTAATTTTTTCTATTTTTAGTAGAGACGGGGTTTCACCATGGTCTCGATCTCCTGACCTTGTGATCCGCCCACCTCGGCCTCCCAAAGTGCTGGGATTACAGGCGTGAGCCACCATGCCCGGCCAAAGAAGGAAATTCTAACACATGCTATATGAGGGCATTAAGCTAAGAAACAAGCCACTCACAAAAGTCAAATATGGGAAGATTCCACTTTAGTCAAAATCATGAAGACAGTAAGTAGAATGGCAGTTGCCAGGGGCTGGGGGGAGGGAGGAATGGGAAGTTATTTTTTAATTAGTATAGAGTTTCAGTTTTACAAGATGAAAAGAGTTCTGGAGCTAGATGGCAGTGATGCTTGCATATTATGAATGTATTAATATCACTAAACTGCACACTTTAAAATGTTTAAGATTGTAAATGTTCTTATATTTTACCACAACTAAAAAAAATAAAAATAAAACAGTACATATAGTGAAGAAGAAATGAAGTTGCAACCAAAGGGACCAATATTTTGGGTGAGAAATCTAATACTTAATTCAGTGCTAATTTTTACATTTTTAGTAGAGACAAGGTTTCACCATCTTGGCCAGGCTGGTCGTGAACTCCTGACCTCAAGTGATCTGCCCGCCTTGGCCTCCCAAAGTGCTGTGATTACAGGTGAGAGCCACCTCGCCCGGCCTCACACCCTTGTGTGTGATTCTCTTAATTCCATTTTCTCTCTTCCCCTCTGCCCCTTAATATACTGCACTTCACCTTGTCATGAGCCAAATAGGACCTGAAATAAGAATACTCAAAACACGGAAGAAATAAACAAGAAGACAGAAACTAAAGCCCGTATTTTTTTTTTTTTTTTTTTTTTTTTTTTTTTTTTTTTAGTGCTTGGTAACTATCCCTTTGTGTCTCCCTAAGTGCAGGATAAACTTCTTGGGGCAAATACAAATGTTTGATAAAATCTGGGCCAAGGAGTCTTGCACTGGATATATTCAACAAATTACCTGCCGATGATAACAGCGTAAGTAAAACGAGTTCTGAAAGTAACAAATGACTTAGTTATCCTCAGTTATAAGGATAAATCCGTCCTTTTCTTTTTCACCTAGCCCTTTTGTTGGGCCTCTAAAATGTAAGGTAACTACGTGGGAAAGCAAGCAACAGCTGGTAGTGTGTTTTTACCCTGATTTTATCACTCCAAGTATCTACCGTCGCTGGCTTTGCGAAGACTAGCTTTGTATCAGAACGAGGTGCAGCCGGAACGCCTGAGGAAAGCAAACCAACTTTCCCAGCCGACGCGTTGACAGCGTTTCCCCACGCTGCGCCAGGGTAGGAACTTCCTCCAGCCTGGTTCGCCCGGCGGGGAACCAATAAAGTTGAGCGCGTTCAAAGGGGTCCTAATCTTCCAGGGCCCACTGGGCAGGCCTGCAAAATAAGGCCCCTAGAAACTCCCTGAGGTTTGCAAGTCTTCTCCCGCTCCTCGGAATTCCCCCCCCCTCATTCGCATTACTTTTATTCTGACGGAAACGGCGCGGGCTAGGCCCCAGGAGGGGCGCTTTTCAGGTGCAACTGGCCCGGCGATCGCGGTGGGCAACCCCTACGAGGCCCCCGGTTGACTGGGAGCTGACGGTCCGAGCTGTGGCTTTGGAAGACCCAGACGATGAAGCCTAGACCCGCCCGGTTCGTGGATAATAAACTCAAGCAACGAGTCATCCAGGTGTGTATTCTGCACCGCTCGGTCTCGCCAAGGGCCCCGATCACTGCCCCAGGGTGCCACTCCCCTTTTTTTCGGGTGGCGTCCACGTGGAACTCAACTAGTCTTCTTTTCTCCAGTCTGGGTCTGGGCGTGCGTCTGTTCCTCCTTCGTTGGTGGTGCCGGGGCCTTCCCTACCCACGTTGGTGCGGAGTCTCAGCAGAAACCGGGGACAGTGGGAGGGTGCAGCTTGGTGGGGCTGCCGAGGATGTCTGGTCGTCTTCAGCGCAGATCATTCAGTAGAGTGGAGTTAGCCTTTGAATTTTAACCTCTTTGACTTGTGAAGTTAGTACAGGAATGGTCTTCAAACGCTCGCATTGTAAGAGGTCCTTGAAAAGGGGTGGCATAAATAATACGTTAATTTCCGCTGTCAAGGAACTTACACACTAAAACGAGGTAACACGGTCTGGCAACAGTAACAGGCACTTTGCCTACGGTTTTCTCATTTTCATGACCGTCAGTAAAAAGCAGTGTGTGGCAAATACCTTAGAATGTAAACAAGCAATCTGAGTTAAAAGGCGGGAGAGAATTTTCTTCACTTAGGAATTGGTGAGCTACACATTCTCCTTGTTTTTCTTTCACTTCACCAGCCCCTAAACAATCTCCTTTTCGGACCCATCTTTTCCTACCAACTTGTAAATGTTGGAAGTGCTCTGAGCCACTGTTCTCTTACCTTCCCTTCCTCCTCTTTCCTCATACACCTTTCTTATCTATCCATACTTCCTATGTGATCTCATTTAGTCTAATAACCTTTGAATAGTGTCTATGTATTCTATTATCTATATATTTATTTCATTTTATTTTTATTTTTCTGAGACACAGTCTCGCTCTGTTGCCCAGGCTAGAGTTCAGTGGGCACAATCGTAGCTCACTGCACCCCCGGCCTCCCTGGCTCAAGCAATCCTCCCTCCTCAGCCTCCCCAGTAGCTGGGACTACAGGTGTGCACCACCACATCTGGCCAATTTATTATTATTATTATTATTATTATTATTATCATTTGTAGAGACGGGGTTCCACTATGTTACTCTGGCTGGTCTCTAACTCCTGGGCTCAAACGATCAGGCCTCAGCCTCCGAAAGTGCTGGGATTACCGGTGCAAGCTGCTGTCCTGTCCTCTATATATTTATGACGGCTAAATTTGTATCTGCTGTCCAGATTTTATCTTGAAGTACAGATTGATATATCCAGCTGCCTAGTTAGCGTATCTCCAAATTAAAATGGCCAAGTGGAACTTGTGATTTTTTCTTCCTTCAAACCTGCCCTTTCTTAGTGTTCTGTATCTCGGTAAGTGATACCACCGTTTGTCCAGTTGTTAAGGCCAAAAGCCTTAAGGGTCATTCTGAGTCTTTTTTTCATTTCCTGTATACCATCCATCAACAGCGTGGTTTGCTTTACTTTCAAAATATATTCCAAGTACTTCTTACTGTCTTTCCCTATAACCATCTTAGTCCAAACCATCATCTCTACCTTATACTATTGCAATAGCCTCCTAACTGGTCTTTCTGAGTCTGCTTTTACCTAAAGCCTATTCCCCACAGAGCAGCCAGAGACATCTAATTTTTTTTTTTTTTTTTCGCTCACTGCAACCTCTGTCTCCTGGGTTCAAGCGATTCTTCTGCCTCAGCCTCCCAAGTAGGTGGGATTACAAGTGCATGCCATCACGCCTGGCTAATTTTTCTATTTTTAGTAGAGACGAGGTTTCACCATGTTGGCCAGGCTGGTCTTGAATTCCTGACCTCAGTTGATCTGCCCGCCTCAGCCTTCCAAAGTGCTGGGATTACAGGCGTGGCCAAGACATCCTTTTAAAGGGAAAAATTAGGCTAGGGGAGGGATAGCATTAGGAGAAATACCTAATGTAAATGACGGGTTGATGGGTGCAGGAAACCACCATGGCCCTTGTATACCTGTGTAGCAACCTGCATGTTCCGCACATGTATCCCAGAACTTAAAGTATAATTTAAAAAAAAAAAAAAAAGGGAAAAATCAGAGCTTGCCATAGCCCTGCTCAAAACCTTTCAGTGGAGTCACAGACATCTAGAGTAAAACCCAGTCAGAAAAGCCCTGCATATTCTGGCCTCTGTTGTCCTAGTTTACTTTTCGTCTCCTGTTCCAACCACACAGACCTTCTCAAACATGCCAAGCACAGGACCTTTGTTCTCGTTGTTCACTCACTCTGAATTACTCTTCCTCTGGATGTTCCCGCATCCCACAACTTGCTCCTTCACTTTATTCAAGTTTCTGAGCAGTGACTCCTAATTACTGCATCTAGTGGCCTCTTCTCTGTCCTCACACTTGACTGCTTTTCAACGTTTGACATTATCAGTTTTCCTCTGTAGCTTTCACTTCGGTTCATTATAAAAGTACAAATTGAATATCCCTTATTCTAAATGCTTAAGACCAAAAAATGTTTCAGATTGATTTTTTTCAGGGTTTGGAATGTTTGTGTATACATAATGAGATATTTGGGGATGGGACCCAAGTTAAACATGAAGTTTACTTATGTTTCATATACACCTTATACACATGGCCTGAAGATAGTCTTACACAAGATTTTAAATAAATTTTCACTTAGCTATATATTTAATTTAATTTAATTTTAATTTTTTATTTTTGAGACTGGGTCTCACTCTGTCACCCAGGCTGGAGTGCAGTGGTGTAAACAGTGCTCACTACCACCTCAAACTCATGGGGTCAAGTGATTCTCCCACCTCAGCCTCCCATGTAGCTGGGACCACAGGTATGCACTATCACGTCTGGCTAATTTTTAAATTTTTCATAGAGATGAGATCTTACCATCTTGGCCAGGCTGGTCTGGAACACCTGGACTCAAGCAATCCTCCCACCTTGGTCTCTCAAAGTGCTGGGATTACAGGTGCAAGCCACCACGCTCAGGCTATTTTATTTATTTATTTATTTTTGAGACAAAGTCTCGTTCTGTTATCCAGGCTGGAGTGCAGCGGCTCGATCATAGCTCACTGCAGTCTCTAAGTCTGGACTTAAGCGATCTCCCACCTTGGCCTCCCAAAATGCTGGGAGTATAAGCACAAGCCACCACACCCAACCAATTTTTAAATTTTTTTGTAGAGATGAGATCAAACTTTGTTGCCCAGGGTGGTCTCGAACTCCTGAGCTCCCAAAGTGTTGGGATTACAGGTATGAGCCATCATGCCCAGCCAAGACGTGATTTAATATTGAAACTAGGGGCCGGGCGCGGTGGCTCAAGCCTGTAATCCCAGCACTTTGGGAGGCCGAGACGGGTGGATCACGAGGTCAGGAGATCGAGACCATCCTGGCTAACATGGTGAAACCCCGTCTCTACTAAAAAATACAAAAAACTAGCCGGGCGAGGTGGTGGGCGCCTGTAGTCCCAGCTACTTGGGAGGCTGAGGCCGGAGAATGGTGTGAACCCGGGAGGCGGAGCTTGCAGTGAGCTGAGATCCGGCCACTGCACTCCAGCCTGGGCGACAGAGCGAGACTCCGTCTCAAAAAAAAAAAAAAAAAAAAAAAAATTGAAACTAAATTGCCTCAAGCTCGTAGTTCTGCAGTATCTGACAGATGTCAAATATCACTGTGTTCCTTGAAGTTTAAAATATCCCCTGCTGCCCTTATGAGTTTATTGCAGTGTTCTAGGGTGTTTGGAAACCTAGGATATTAGTAAGTAAGCCATCACTTACTGCCTTGTAACTATGCTCGTAATAATATTGTGTTATAGTGATTACTAATGTTAATTAAATTTTCTGATTTCAGACTTGACAATTATTGGTTACTTTTATTTATGTTTCTGGTATGCTTTATTAATGAAGAGTTTATCTTAAAGTATAAAGCTCAATCTGTTGATTAAAATCACTGAATTTGAAATATTGAGTGTTTTATATTTGTTATATTTTCTGTTTTAGTACCTTACCGGTAACAAATGTGGCAAATATGTGGACATTGGAGTCTTAGCATCTGATTTACAAAGAATGTACAGGTAAATAAATAGTTTCCAGATCCTTGAATTTTTATTTCCCCTTTACCATTTTGAAAGTTTATATCCTGCTTAAATTTCTAGTTGATATCAATAGCTGCTGGCATTAGTTCACCAATCCATAATCTTGGAACTCAATTTGGTTATGCATACATTTATCAAATACCTATTATGTGCAGTAAGATGTCTTTTGTACTGTGGGAAATGGTCGCTGCTTATCTTTTAGTACCTCACAGTCTGGTCAAGAGATAGAGATGTTATTATATCACTTCCTTTCCTGCTTCATTAGAAAATTAAAACCAGGCCAGGCATAATGGCTCATGCCTGTAATCTCAGCACTTTGGGAGGCTGAGGTGGGAAGATGGCTTAAGCCCAGGAGTTTGAGACCAGCCTGGGCAACATGGTGAAACTCCATCTGTACAAAAAATATACAAAAATTTGCCAGGCTTGGTGGCATGCACCTGTGGTCCCACCTACTTGGGAGACTGAGGTGGGAGAATCACTTGAGCCCAGGAGGTCAAGGCTGTAGTGAGTTGTGGTCATGCCACTGCACCCTAACCTCAGTGACAGAATGAGATCCTCTCCCAAAAAAGACAGAAAGAAAATTAAAACCATCACCAGCAGGTATGATCTCCCTGAGTTTTCTGACTCCCTTTTTTTTTTTTTTTTTTTTGAGACGGATTTTCGCTCTTGTTGCCCAGGCTGCTGGAGTGCAATGGTGCAACCTCAGCTAACCACAACCTCTGCTTCCCAGGTTCAAGCAATTCTCCTGCCTCAGCCTCCTAAGTAGCTGGGATTATAGGCATGTGCCATCACACCTGGGTAATTTTGTATTTTTAGTAGAGACAGGGTTTCACTATGTTGGCCAGGCTGGTCTCAAACTCCTGACCTCAGGTGACCTGCCCGCCTTGGCCTACCAAAGTGCTGGGATTACAGGCGTGAGCCATGGCACCCGGCCTCTTTTTTTTTTAATACAATTTTTAGTTTTATTTTTTGTGGAGACAGGACCTTCTGTATTTGCCCAGGTTGGTCTTGAACACCTGACCTCAAGTGATCCTTTTACGTTGGCCTCTCTAAGTGCTAGGATGATAGGCTTGAACCAGCATGCCCAGCCAGCTTCCTGAGTTTTTTTTTTTTTCGTGACGGAGTCTTGCTCTGTTGTCCAGGCTGGAGTGCAGTGGATCTCGGCTCACTGCAAGCTCCGCCTCCTGGGTTCAAGTGATTCTCCTGCCTCAGCCTCCTGAATAGCTGGGATTACAGGCATGCACTAACCACACACACCTAATTTTTGTATTTTTAATAGAGATGGGGTTTCACCATGTTGGCCAGGCTGGTCTTGAACTCCTGACCTCAGGTGATCTTCCTGCCTCGTCCTCCCAAAGTGCTAGGGTTATAGGCGTGAGCCACCCCACCTGGCCAAGAATACCTTAATTATTTCTAAAGGCCCTATCCCCAAATATAGTCACATTCTGAGGTACTAGGGTTTAGGACATCAACATAAGAATTTAAGGGAAACACAATTCAGCTTATTGGACTCTGTGCTGTGGCTCCCAAAATTCACGTCCTCGTATGCAGATACATTCATTCCATTCCACAAACCCCAAAAGTCTTAACTCATTTTAGCATCAACTCTTAAGTCCAAACTCTTATCTAAGTATCATCTAAATCAGGCCAGATGCAAGGACTCATACCAATAATCCCAGCATTTTGAGAGGCCAATGGCTTAAGGCCATAGAGTTCAAGACCAGCCTGGGGAACACAGTGAGACTCCGTCTTTACAAAATAAAAATAGAAATAATTAGCTGGGCATGGTGGCATGAACCTGTATTCCTTGCTATTCGAGAGGCTGAGATGAGAGGATCGCTTGGGCCCAGGAGTTCAAGGTTGCAGTGAGCTATGATTGCACCAGTGCACTCCAGCTGGGTAACAGAGCAAGACCCTGTCTCTAAATATAAAATAAATAAATAAAAATAATGTTATATAAATTAATTGGTAATGGCTGAGATTCAAGGTATGATTTATCCTGGGGCAAAATTCCTCTTCATCTATTCACCTGTGAAACCAGACAAGTTACCTGCTTCCAAAATACAGGCATGTCCTATATAACAATGTTTCAGTCAATGATGGACCTCATGTATGATGGTGATACCATAAGATTGTTACATCATATTTGTACTGTAACTTTTCTGTGTTTAGATGTGTTTAAATACACAATACCATTGTTTTACAGTTGCCTATAGTATTTAGTGCAATAATATGCTGTATAGGTTTGTAGGCAGAGTAGGCTATACCATGTAGTCTAGGTGTGTAATAGGCTAGCCCATCTAGGTTTGTGTAAGTACACTCTTACTTATTTTTGTTTTCATACAATGAGAATGCCTAATGATAAACTTCTCAGAATGTGTCTCCATTGTTTAGTGATGCACGATTGTACAATGGCAGGACAGGCATAAGTGTAGGTTAGACATTCCTATTCTAAAAGAGAGCAATTGGAAAAAAGAAAGGGTCATGGGTCCCAAGCAAGTCCAAAACCAAGCAGGGCAAATGTCATTAGATTTTCAGGCTTTAGAGTAATCCTCTTTGGCTTGATGCCCTGCCCTGTGGGCTCAGTAGGGTGGTGATCCTGCCCTGTTACCTAGGAGGAGACAGCCCCACCTGCCACACCTGTGCCCTCTGGGCCTGTGTTAGCAGTGGCAGCCCTGCCTTCTTTTGAGCCTCCTTGAGGGTCATTCTTCCCTTTTCTTGAAGGATAACTTGTGTTCACAGCTGGATAGTTTTATTAGCCCTGTCCTATAGATTCCTGAAAGTCCAACAGCCTTCCTTAATTTTGTCCCCATCTCTGTCTCTTCAGTCCAAGCTGGCAGTGTTTCTGTTGCTTTAACCCCATCTCTATTCCTGGCTTCTGCTGAGATGGCTGACTGAATCCATAAGTCATATGCTGGTAATCGCTTTAGCAAATTGTCCCCCTACACTCTTGATGTCCTCTTTAGATTATGCTTTTTCATTTTTTATAATGTGGATAAACTGAGAATTTTCTAATCTTCAGGTTCTGGTTTCCTTTTTGTTGAACAATTCCTTCTTTATCTCTCTTTATACTGTAAAATTTCACTATAAGCAGCAAGGAGAAATCAGGCCACACTTCAGCACTTTGCTTAGAAATCTGAGTGAAATATCCAGATTCATCACTTACAAGTTCTACTTTTATTTTTAATTTTATTTTTAATTTTTTTTTTTTTGAGGCGGAGTCTTCACTCTGTTCCAGGCTGGAGTGCAGTGGCACCATCTCGGCTCACTGCAAGCTCCGCCTCCCGGGTTCGCGCCATTCTCCTGCCTCAGCCTCCGGAGTAGCTGGGACTACAGGCGCCCGGCCACCCGCGCCCCGGCTAATTTTTTGTATTTTAGTAGAGACGGGGTTTCACCGTGTTAGCCAGGATGGTCTCGATCTACTGACCTCGTGATCCGCCCGCCTCGGCCTCCCAAAGTGCAGGGATTACAGGCGTGAGCCACCGCGCCCGGCCACAAGTTCTACTTTTAAAACAGTAAAACACAAGTCCTCTGCCACTTCATAACATGGACTGCCTTTCTTCCAATTTCCAATAACATGCTTCTCATTTCTGTCCGAGACCTCACCAGAAGCATCTTTAACATTCAAATTTCTACTAGCATTCTCTCTCTCTGTATGTAACTATAGAACCTTCCTGTACAACTCTTGTTTTTCTGAGCTCTTACCAGAGTTGCCTTCAGTGTCCTTTTTTTTTTTTTTTTGAGATGAAGTCTCACTCTGTCACCCAGGCCGGAGTGCAGTGGTACAATCTCAGCTCACTGCAACCTCTGCCTCCCGGGTTCAAGCAATTTTCCTGCCTCAGCCTCCCAAGTAGCTGGGACTATGGGTGCACACCGCCATACCTGGCTAATTTTTTGTATTTTAGTAGAGACAGGGTTTCACCGTGTTGCCAAGGCTGGTCTTAAACTCCTGAGCTCAGGCAATTTGCCCACCTCAGCCTCCCGACATGCTAGGATTACAGGCGTGAGCCACCACGCCCTGCAGTGTTCATATTTCTAACAGCAGTCACTTCAGAGCCATCTAGGTTTCTTCTAACATGCACCTCAAAGCTCTCTGGCCTCTATTACCTACTTCCAAAACCATTTCTACATTTTAAGGTATTTGTCACAGTAGCACTATACTAACCAGTACCAAACTCTGTATTAGAAAGGAAGAAAAGAAGAGAAACTAAGACAGAAGGCTTTTAAAAACAGTAGTGTACCTCACTTTGGCTACCACCCAGTAGTAGTTTTCCTTCTCTTTATCAGAATTTATTTAACGAGTGGTCTAAGGCCAAGGCACAGTGGCTCACACCTATAATTTCAGCACTTAGAGAGGCTAACACAGGAGGATCGCTTGAGGCCAGGAGCCTGGGCAACATAGCAAGAATCTGTCTCTACAATAAAAATTAGCCTGGCATGGTGGCATGCAGCTGTAGTCGGTCCTAGCTACTCGGGAAGTTGAGGCAGGAGATCCCTTGAGGCCAGGAATTCAAGGCTGCAGTGAGCTACGATCGCACCACTGCACTGAAGTGTGGGTGACAGAGCAATACCCTGTCTTTTAAAAAATAAAAATAAAGACTCAGCTAAGATTGTTTCTATCCCCACCACTCACTCCATTGAAATCTATGAACTGTGTTTTGTTGGTAACCTTTTTTCTTAGTTGATGGTATGACTGTTACTCAGCCAGTTACCCAGGTTAATCTATCTGTTATCTACTTCCTTCTACCTAGCCTTGAACCCCCCTGCCATGTCTATAATAAGTCACCAAGAAGCCTTGCTGTTGTCTCTTAAATAGTTCATGATGCCTGTTCTCTCTTTTCCTTACCATTACTAGCCTAATCCAGAGCCTCATTATTTCTTGTCTAGACTACAAGACTTGTTTTTTTTTGTTTGTTTTTTTTTTGAGATGGACTCTCACTCTGTCACCCAGGCTGGACTGCAGCGGCGCAATCTCGGCTCACTGCAACCTCCACCTCCTGGGTTCAAGTGACTCTCCTGTCTCAGCCTCCCGAGTAGCCAGGACTACAGGTCCATGCCACCATACCCAGCTAATTTTTGTATTTTTAGTAGAGATAGGGTTTCGCCATGCTGGCCAGGCTGGTCTTGAATTCCTGACCTCAAGTGATCCTCCCGCCTTAACCTCCCAGTGTGTTGGGATTATAGGCATGAGCCACTGCACCTGGCCTGTTTCAGCTTTTAAACATTCTTCCTACATCTATCTGCCATCTTCTCTTATCCAGGTGTTGGCAAACTATGGCCCTCAAACCGGTTCCTGCCTGCCACCTTGTTTTGTATGGCCCATGAGCTAAGAATCATTTTTACATCTTTCTTTCTCTCTTTGTTTTAATTTTTAATTAATTATTATTATTATTATTTTTGGAGACACAGTCTCGCACTGTCACCCAGGTTGGAGTGCAGTGGCGCAATCTCGGCTCACTGCAGCTTCAGCCCTCTGGGCTCAAGTGATCCTCCTGCCTCAGCCCCCAGATAGCTGGCACGAAGCACATGCCACCATGCCCCGCTAATTTTTTGTATTTTTTGTAGAGACAGGGTTTTGCCATGTTGCCCAGGCTGGCCTTGAACTCTTGAGCTCAAGTGATCCTCCCGCCTCAGCCTCCCAAAGTGCTAGGATTCCAGGCATGAGCCACCGTGCCAGGCCCCAAGTTGCCTCTTTAAATGGTCATGATTTAGTACAATATTTGCCTCATCTAAAACTTTGTGTTTTGATGTAATTTCACATTTAAGAAAAGCTGACCCAGACCAGCTTAGACAACATAGTGAGACCCCCATCTCTACAAAAATAATCGAAAAATTAACTAGGTGTGCTGGCACGTGTCTGTTGTCGTACCTACTCAGGAGGCTGGGGTGGGAGGATTGCTTGACACCAGGAGGTCGAGGTTGTGGCACGCTCTGGTTGCACAACTACACTTCAGCCTGACTGAGAGAATGAGACCCTGTCTCAAAAACAAAGAATTTTTTTTTTTTTTTGAGATGGAGTCTCACTCTGTCACCCAGGCTGGAGTGTGGTGGTGTGATCTCGGCTCACTGCAACCTTCACCTCCTGGGCTCAAGCGATACTCCTGCCTCAGCTCCCAAGTAGCTGGGATTACAGGCACCCACCACCATGCCTGGCTAGTTTTTGTATTTTTAGTAGACATTGGGGTTTTACCATGTTGGCCAGGCTGGTTTTGAACTCCTGATCACAAATGATCCACCCACCTTGGCCTCCCAAAGTACTGGGATTACAGGTGTGAGCCACTGCACCGGCAAGAATTTTTATAAAGAGGAAAATGGAAAGAATAGAACAAAGAACACCCATATACTCTACCTAGAATGTCCCTTTATCCATGCATACTATATATTCCCTAAGGACAAAGGCTTTTATTATATAACCACAGTTTATTTATTAAAACCAGAAAATGTAATCTTGATTCAATAATGTTATCGAATCCACCATTCATATTCAGAGTTTGCCTATCTCAGTAATGTTCTTTGTAGCTGTTATTTTATGGGAATTTTTTTTCCAGAACTGAAATCCAACCCCTAAATTATGCTTGTTTTGCCTTTTAGTTTCCTTTAATCTGCAACAGTTCCTCAACCTTTTTTTGTTTTTCATGATCTCTACATTTTTGAAGATTTCTGGTAGTCACTATATTAGAATATCCCTCAATTTGAATTTTTCTGCTGTTTCCACATGGTTGAAATCAGGTTATATGTTTTTGGAAGGAAAACCAAAGAAGCAATTTGACTTCAAAAGGCACAGAATATCTGTGTGGGGTGTTATTCGGTAATGTTAGTTTTGATCAATCCACTGTAAATTAATTTGAAATTAATAAATAATTTATAAGAAGATATTTTCAGATTATATAAATATCCTGTACTCATCATACTTTCACCCATATTTTTAGCAGATGGTCTTGCTAAAAATATTTAACTTGAATTTAATAATGAGGAGACATAAATTCAGATTGTGGGACATTTTATAAATTAGCTGGCCTGGATCCTTCAAAAATGTCAGTGTTATATGCACAAAGGTTACAAGTTAAAAGAGTTCAAAGAGACACAATGACCAAGTAAATGCATGAACCTTGACTAGACACTGGGTCAAAGAAAAACAACTATAAAGACCATTTTTTGGGAATAATTTGAGAAATTTTAATATGGACTGTATATTAGATAATTTACCAATATTAAATTTCTTATTTGTGCTAACTGTATTGTGGGTGTGCAGATATCTTTTTTTTTTTTTTTTTGAGATGGAGTCTCGCTCTGTTGCCCAGACTGGAGTGCAGTGGTGCAATCTCGGCTCACTGCAACCTCCGCCTCCCGGGTTCACGGGATTCTCCTGCCTCAGTCTCCCGAGTAGCTGGGACCACAGGTGTGCGCCACCACACCCAGCTGATTTTTTTTTGTTTTGAGACAGAGTCTCACTCTGTCACCCAGACTGGATTGCAGTGGCGTGATCTTGGCTCACTGCAAGCTCTGCCTCTCGGGTTCACGCATTCTCTTGCTTCAGGCTCCCGAGTAGCTGGGACTACAGGCGCTTGCCACCACACCTGGCTGATTTTTTTTTTTTTTTGTATTTTTAGAAGAGACAGGGTTTCACCATGTTAGCCAGGGTGGTCTCGATCTCCTGACCTTGTGATCCACCCACCTCGGCCTCCTGAAGTTTTGGAATTACAGGCGTGAACCACGGTGCCTGGCTGCAGATACTCTTTTTTACAGAGATACATGCTGAGAATTTTTGAGATGAAGGGTCTGTAACTTATTTTCTTCTTATTAGTTTTTTAATTTATTATTTTTTTTGAGATGAGATCTTGCTCTGTTGGCCAAGCCAAGTGCATTGGTGCAATCACGGCTCACGGCAGCCTTCACCTCCCAGACTCAAGCTGTCCTCCCACCTCAGCCTCCCAAGTAGCTGGGACTACAGCCATGTACTACCATACCTGGCTAATTTTTTTATATTTTGTAGGGACAGGGTTTCCCTATGTTGGCAGGGATGGTCTCAAACTCCTGGGCTCAAGTGATTCTCCCACCTCGGCCTCCCAAAGTGCTGGGATTACAGGCATGAGCCACTGTGCCTGGCCTAGAACTTATTTTCAAATGGTTCTGCCCTACCCCTCCAAAAGAAATCTCTGTATACAGACAGAAGTAAAGTAAATGTGGCAGCTTGAGAATACTATAGGTAAAGAATATATGAGTGTTGATTACATTATTTCTTTAATATTTTTAGTAAGTTTGAAATTTTCAAAATATTTGAAGCAAAGAAGGTTAGTTTAAAAAAGGGAAAAAGGCCGGGCGCGGTGGCTCAAGCCTGTAATCCCAGCACTTTGGGAGGCCGAGATGGGCGGATCACGAGGTCAGGAGATCAAGACCATCCTGGCTAACCCGGTGAAACCCCATCTCTACTAAAAAATACAAAAAAAAAAAAAAAAAACTAGCTGGGCGAGGTAGTGGGCGCCTGTAGTCCCAGCTACTCGGGAGGCTGAGGCCGGAGAATGGCGTAAACCTGGGAGGCGGAGCTTGCAGTGAGCTGAGATCCGGCCACTGTACTCCAGCCTGGGCGACAGAGTGAGACTCCGTCTCAAAAAAAAAAAAAAAACAAATAAAAAAGGGAAAAAATGGAGAAGGGTCACAATAGTAAATATATAAACTTAGAAGTTTGAAAATAGGTTTATGGCAAGTGTCTATACTGTAACATAATGAAATATTCATGCAAATTTATTTGATCCATGTAGATTGAACTTAATGGAAAAATACTGGTGGAAACTACTATGCTAAACTTCATGTTTTCTTTTTTCAGTATAGACTATGGTCGAAGAAAAAGAAATGCTTTTAGGATTCAGGTAGAAAAAGGTGAGTCTTTTATTGTTAGAGCTAAATTATCGATAAAGTTATATAAACAATTGTTTGAGCTCATAGCATTTTTCTTTTTGTTTCAGTATTTAGCATAATTAGTAGTGAGAAGGAACTTAAGAATTTAACAGAATTAGAAGATGAACATTTAGCAAAAAGAGCAAGACAAGGTGAAGAGGACAATGAGTAAGTATACAAAATGCAGCGTTTTTTTAAACCATGAACCTTTTCACGTTACATTCCTGCTTGTAAAACTTTCAATGGCTCTTCCTTGCCAACAAAGCCCTGCGTAGTATTTACCTAACCTCTTCAGCCATATTGAATGTTCTTTATTCCCCAAAGAGATCAAATTCTCTGTGGCTGTGGTTTTGTTGAGTTAGAGCATCATTTCCCTTTCACAAACTCCCACTCAGCCCTCAAGAATCAATTGAAATGTTACTGCCTTTATTAGGCCTAAGACCCCTTTTTAAATGTTTCCTTAGCTTCTAGTTACAGATATTTGTTATAATCCTTATGATATCATATGGCATTGAAATTATTTGCTTACTTGTTTGCATTACCAACAGTACTGTCTCATTACCTTCTTCTTCTGCCCTAACACAACATCAGATATATAAAAAGGTGCCAATTAATTTTGTTTAAGAAATAGTATTGAGAGTTTAAAAAATATCTTTAATGAGGTATAATTGACATCAGTAAGCTCTACTTTTTTTTTTTTTTTTTTTTTTTGAGATTAAGTCTCACTCTGTCACCCAGGCTGGAGTGCAGTGGCACGATCTCAGCTCACTGCAACCTCCGCCTCCTGGATTCAAGTGATTCTCCTGCCTTAACCGCCCAAGTAGCTAGGGTTACAGTCATGTGCCACCACACCCGGCTACTTTTTTATATTTTTGGTAGAGACGGGGTTTCACCATGTTGGCCAGGCTGGTCTCAAACTCCTAACATCTAGTGATCAACCCACCTAGGCCTCCCAAAGTGCTGGGATTACAGGCATGAGCCATTGCGCCCACCCGGCCAAGCTCTACGTTTTTAAAGTGTACAATTTGTTAAGTTTTGACGTAGGTATATACTCATTGAACTATCACCATAAGCAAGATACTGAACCTTTCCATAAATATCAAAAGTCTTCTTGTTCCCCTTTGCAATTCATTTCTCCCTCCACCCCTGTTTCTAGGCAAACTTTTTTCTTTTTTTTTTTTTTTTGAGATAGTGTTTTACTCTGTCACCCAGGCTGGAGTTCGATCACAGCTCATTGCAGCCTTGACTTCCCAGGTTATTTGATTCTTCTACTTCAGCCTCCGAAGTAGCTGTAGGCACATGCTACCACACCTAGCTAATTTTTTGTAGAAACGGGGTTTTGCCATGTTGCCCAGGTTGGTCTTGAACTTCTGGGCTCAAGCAGTCTGCCTGCTTCAGCCTCCCAAAGTGTCGGGATTATAGATGTGAGCCATAGCACCCAGCTTTAGGCAAGCATTGATTTGCTTTCTGTCACTGTGTGTTACGTTGCATTTTGTAGAATTTTATTTGGAATCATACTTTTAAAGTCTGGATTCTTTCATTCTTTCACTTAGCATAATGATTTTGAGGTTTATCAATGTTGTGTGTATCAATAGTTCATTGCTTTTTATTGATGAGTATGTGTGGACACGCCACAATTATTTTATCTGTTTATCTGTTTTTTTTGTTTTTGTTTTTTTTGAGACAGGGTCTCACTTTGTTGCCCAGGCTGGAATGTAGTGGAGTGGCATATCACAACTCACTGCAGCCTCTACCTCCTGGGCTCAAGCGATTCTCCCATACAGGTGCATGCTACCATGCCCAGTTAATTTTCTAATTTTTTGTAGAAACAGGGATCTCACTATGTTTCCAGGCTGCTCTCATACCACTGGGCTCAAGCAATTCTCTTGCCTCAGACTCCCAGAGTGCTGGGATTACAGGTGTGAACCACCTTGCCTGACCTATCTGTTTATCTCTTGTTGGTCAGTTGGTTTGTTTCCAGTTTCTGGCTATTACAAATTAAGCTGTGATGAACATTTATGTCCAGGTCTTTATGTGGACAGTATTTTCATTTCCTTTATTAAGTATGTAAGATTGGAATAGCTGGGTCATGTGATAGATGCATATTTAAGAAATTGCCAAACTATTTTCCAATGTATTTGTACCATTTTACTTTTACATTAGCAGTTTATGAGAATTCTACTCTTTCCACAAATTGCTAATATTTGGTATGGTCAGTGTTTAATTTTCAGTAGTATTTCACTGTAAATATGACATTAGCTTTAGGTTTTTTTGTAGATGTCCTTTGTCAGATTGAGGAAGTTTCCTAATATTCCTAGATTGCTGAGAATTTTTGTCATGAATAGATACTGCATTTGTCAAATGCTTTTCTGTATCTGTTGAAACATCATTATGGCCTTTCCCCTTTAGTCTATTAATTTGGTGAATTACATTGGTTCCCAGTATTAAGCCAATCTTGCATTCCGGGGATAAACACTACTTGGTCCTGATATGTTATCTTTTTAATGTATTGTTGGCAGCCTGAGCAACATAGCGAGACTCTGTCTACAGAAAATTTAAAAATTAGCCAGGCATGGCGGTGCATGATTCTATCCCAGCTTCTTTGGTAGCTGAGGTAGGAGGATTGCTTGAGACCCGGAGTTGAAGGTTACAATGAGCTATAATTATGCCACTGCACTCCAGCCTGGGTGACAGAATGAGATCTAGTCTCTGAAGAAAAAAAAAAAAAAGGAAAGGCCGGGCGCGGTGGCTCAAGCCTGTAATCCCAGCACTTTGGGAGGCCGAGACGGGTGGATCACGAGGTCAGGAGATCGAGACCATCCTGGATAACACGGTGAAACCCCATCTCTACTAAGAAATACAAAAAACTAGCCGGGCGAGGTGGCGGGCGCCTGTAGTCCCAGCTACTCGGGAGGCTGAGGCCGGAGAATGGCGTGAACCAGGGAGGCGGAGCTTGCAGTGAGCTGAGATCCGGCCACTGCACTCCAGCCTGGGCTACAGAGCGAGACTCCGTCTCAAAAAAAAAAAAAAAGAAAAAAAAAAAAAAGAGTATTTGTTTGATGTTGTTTTCTTGAGATGGAGTCTCGCTCTTGTTGCCCAGGCTGGAGTGCAATAGCGTGATCTTGGCTCACTGCAACCACTGCCTCTCGGGTTTAAGCCATTCTCCTGCCTCAGCCTCCTGAGTAGCTGGGATTACAGGGACCTGCCACCATGCCCGGCTAATTTTCGGAAAAAAAGGATATTAATTGGATTCAGTTTACTAATCTTTTTCTACAGATGTTTGCATTTGTATGTCATATTGGTCCGAATTTTCTTTTGCTCATTTTTGGAATGTCTGTGATGTTTTGGTGTTAGGGTTACACCGGCCTCATGATATTAGTGGGAAAATACTCTTTTGTTCTCTATTTTATGAAAACAAATTATGGAAATTCTTTTTTGAATATTTATTAGTGTTCACCCACAGTTTTTCTAGGCCTAGAATCAACTTCCCCAGAGTCTTCTTTTTCTGAAGGATTTTGATAAATTGTAATTTTGCTAGATATACGGCTCTTCTTTACATCTCTCCTTATGTCAATTGTGATAAATTGTATTTTTAAATCATTTGTTCATTTTCTCTCAGGTGTGGAATTTGTTGGCATAATGCTTCTGCAATATTCTCTTGTCATCCTTTTAATGTCTATAGGATTTGGGGTGATAGCCCCATTTTACTGTTTGTAGCTCAGCCTTTTTCATTTAGATTTAGCATGATTTTCTTCAGTTCCATATTCATGAGTATTTGTTTGTGTTACACTGTTGCATAATAAATAACTCTTTACTGCATATCTCTTTGTACACATCACTTTTTGTTTTGTTTTTTTTTTGAGATGGAGTCTGGTTCTGTGGCCCAGGCTGGAGTGCAGTGGCGTGATCTCGGCTTACTGCAAGCTCCGCTTCCCGGGCTCACGCCATTCTCCTGACTCAGCCTCCCGAATAGCTGGGACTACAGGCGCCCGCCATCACTCCCGGCTAATTTTTCTATTTTTAGTAGAGTCGGGGTTTCACCGTGTTAGCCAGGATGATCTCGATCTCCTGACCTTGTGATCCGCCCGCCTCGGCCTCCCAAAGTGCTGGGATTACAGGCGTGAGCTGCCGCGCCCGGCCCACATCACTTTTTTATGTTGAATTTTTGAGGTGGAATTTCTCAAAGATTGATATTTTTGAGATTTCTCATGCATTTGGACTTACCTTCCTAAAAATGTTGCCTCAGTTTATGTTCCCAACAACTTTGTATAAAGGGCACATTTCTCTGCATCCCTGCAATCTTAATTATACTATAATTTATCTTTGCTGTTTTTATAGGCCAAATATTGATCTTTTTTTTTTTCTTTTTTTGAGATGGAGTCTAGCTCTGTCACCCAGGCTGGAGTCCAGTGGTGCGATCTCAGCTAACTGCATCCTCTGCCTCCCAAGTTCAAGCAATTCTCCTGCCTCAGCCTCCTGAGTAGTTGGGACTACAGGCGTCCACCACCACTCCTGGCCAATTTTTGTATTTTTAGTGGAGAGAGGGTTTCATCATGTTGGCCAGGCTGGTCTCGAACTCCTGACGTCAGGCAATCCGCCCACCTCGGCCTTCCAAAGTTCTGGGATCACAGGCTTGAGCCACTGCTCCTGGCCTTGATCATATTTTTCTTTGTAATTTTATAATTACTGAGGTTAGGTTTTTTGTTATTTCATATTTGTTTTGTGAATGGCTTGCTTTATGGGTTTTTTTCTATTTCATTTGAGAGGTATTTGAATTTTCCTTATTAGTTGTTGGAGTGTTTTGCATAAAATATACTTCTTTTTATATGTATTACAACTGCTTTCCCCATGTTGCCACTTCCCTTTTAATTTTTGTTTGCACCGTCTTTTGATTAGAGAAGTTTTGCATTTTTACATAGTCAAATCTCTCAGTCTTTTTCGTTTTGGTTTATGCTGATATGCTTAGAAAGACCTCTCTCACAAGAGTGTGTAAAATAATTACTTACACTTTTTTCTTCTTTCTTTATGATGTTTAACTCTTTAATCCACTTGGAATTTTTTTTCTTTTTTTAGGGCATAAGTTGTAAGGCAAAACTTTTTTTTTTTTCCCCAAATAGTTGAATGATATACCTTATTTACATTGATTAGAATTGCTCCCAAGTAATACTGATTAATTTTAATGAACATAGAATTTGCTGGGTTGTTTTTTTTTTTTTTTTTTTTTTTTTTTGAGACAGGGTCTTGCTCTGTCACCCAGGCTTCAGTGCACTGGCACAATCATGGCTCACCGCAGTCTTGATGTCCCAGGCCCAAATGATCCTCCCACCTCAGCCTCGTAAGTAGCTGGGACTACAGGTGTGCACCAGCATGCCCAGCTAATTTTTTAATTTTTTTGTAGAGACACAGTCTCCCTTGGTTGCCCAGGCTATAATTTGTGTCTTAATGTCTTAATTATAACAGCATTTCATTGCATTCATATGAAGCTTTCTACAAAAAAAAAAAAAAAAAAAGTCCTTTTCTTATTTAAATAATTTTTTTTTTTTTTTTTTTGAGACAGAGTATCATACTGTCAGGCAGGCTGGAGCACAGTGGCACGATCTTGGCTCACTGCAACCTCCATACCCTGGGCTCAAGCAATTCTCCTGCCTCAGCCTCCCAAGTAGCTGGGATGTGCCACCACACCTGGCTGAGTTTTGTATTTTTAGTAGAGACAGGGTTTCACCATGTTGACCAGACTGCTCTCTGTGAACTCCTGACCTCAGGTAATCCACCCGCCTCGGCCTCCCAAAGTGCTGGGATTACAGGCGTGAGCCACTGCGCCGGGCCTATTTAAATAATTTCCGAAGAAGTTTTAAATACTAGTAGAGTCCTAAAGTTACTTGAAGCTATTAGATAACAACTTTCAGTTATAATTAATTAAGACTACATTCTCAGCTTGTAGTTTATTAGGATTTATACTTCTTTTTTGATACAGGAAATTTATTTGCTCCTTCATCCCTGATGAACAGTCTTGGAGAAGTTGTATTTGGTTACATGGTTTGGTTATGTTGACTTTGTGAATTTGTTACTCAGAATGCTTAATTATAGGTTGCTGAAGTATTTCCTCTACCTGAATCTGATATCCCCAAATGAGACCCTTGGGCCTGATGGAATTTGTATCTTTTATTTATTGCTAGGATAAATATAACTAATTTATTTTGCATTTATTATATATTGTAAATGCATAAGGACTTTGCAAGCATTTATTTAATCCTTTGATAACTCTGGGAGATAGACATTACTTATTAAATCTCCGTTTTATAGATAAGGAAGCTGATGCTTAGAGAGGTTAAGTAATAACTGGTTAAGTTGGATTTTGAATCCTAGTTTCTCTGATTCCAGAGTTTGGACTCTTAACCACCATAATCGTTTGCCTGAATATATTTACTTGTTTTGGGTAATCATTTTTTTAGGATATGGGAGAGAAAGTCTTTAAAACATTTTTCCCTCTTTTTACTGAGGTATACTGAAAGCTATTCTGATGATGATTCAAGTATGGAAGACTACCCAGATCCACAGGTAAGCCAAACATTTAGTGGGTCCACTTTGATTTTTTCTTTTTTAGTCGTTATGATACCTCCTTTGAAAAACTCAGTAAGAGCTGGGCATGGTGACTCACACCTCTAATCCCAGCACTTTTGGAGGCTGAGGCATGCAGATCACTTGAACCCAGGAGTTTGATACCATCCTGGCCTACATGGCAAAACCCTGTCTGTATAAAAAGTACCAAAAAATAAGCCTGGCCAACATGGTGAAACCTTGTCTACATAAAAAATACAAAAATTTGCCGGGCATGGTGGCATGCACCTGTGATCCCAGCTACCTGGAGGGGCTGAAATGGGAGAATCACTTGAGCCCAGGAGGTTGAGGCTGCAGTGAGCTGTGATTGTGCCACTTTACTCCAGCCTGGGTGACAGAGTGAGACCCTATCTTTTAAAAGGTTAGCTGTCATGGCTCACACCTGTAATCCTAGCACTTTGAAAGGCCAAGGAGGGTGGATCACTTGAGCTGAGGAGTTCGAGACCAGCCATGGCAGAACCCCATCTCTCCCAAAAAAACCTCCCGAAATTAGCCAGGTATAATGCCTTCAGTCCCAGCTCCTCAGGAAGCTGAGGTGGGAGGATCACTTAAGCCCAGGAGGCAGAGGTTGCAGTGAGCTGGGATTGCACCACTGCACTCCAGCCTGAGCAACAAAACCAGATCCTGTCTCAAAAAAAAAAAAAAATTGCCGGGCGCGGTGGCTCAAGCCTGTAATCCCAGCACTTTGGGAGGCCGAGACGGGTGGATCACGAGGTCAGGAGATCGAGACCATCCTGGCTAACACGGTGAAACCCCGTCTCTACTAAAAATACAAAAAAAAACTAGCCGGGCGAGGTGGCGGGCGCCTGTAGTCCCAGCTACTCAGGAGGCTGAGCCAGGAGAATGGCGTGAACCCGGGAGGCGGAGCTTGCAGTGAGCTGAGATCCGGCCACTGCACTCCAGCCTGGGCGACAGAGCGAGACTCCGTCTCAAAAAAAAAAAAAAAAAAAAAAAATTAGTAAGAAATAGAATAAAAGGCCAGGTGCTATGGCTCACATCTGTAATCCCAGCACTTTGGGAGGCTGAGGCAGGAAAATCACTTGAAACCAGGGGTTCAAGACCAGCTTGGGCAACACAGCAAGACTCTGTCTCTACAAAATACAAACAAAAATTAGCTGGGTCTGGTGGCATACACCCATAGTCCCAGCTACTCAGGAGGCTGATGCTGGAGGATCGCTTGAGCCCAGGAGTTTGAGGCTACAGTGAGCTATGATTGTGCCATTCTACTTCAGCCTGGGTGACAGACCTTATGGCAAAAGAGAGAGAGAGAAGAGAAGGGAAGAAAGAGGGAGAGAAAGAAAAGGATTAGGGCTAAAGGGAAGGAGAGAGAATAGAATAAGAGACTTTAGACATCTTCATCAATAAATAATTGAACACTTTCTGTGTTCAATATTGGTGATGGATTAACCATCCTTCCAGTATTTGTGTTATAAGTCAGTTATACAAGGAAAAAGAAGGGAAGAGGATAGCTAGAAATAAGGGCAGATAAGAATAGAGTAATTAATAGTAAAAATGGAAAAAGGGATATACTTTTTGTCAAGGAGATGGCATTACTAATGAAGAGGCTTGATTAAAGGAGAATATGGAGATAATATAGTCAGCCCTCACCCTCCATGGGGGATTGGCCCTAGGGCCCCACATGAATACCTGCAAATGTTCAGGTCCCTTATGTAAAATGGCATCATGTTTGCATATAACCTTATATACATCCTCTGGTATACTTTAAATTATCTCTGGATTACTTATAATGCCTAATACAATGTAAATAAGATGTAAGTAGTTTTTACACTATTTCTTTCTTTTTTTTTTTTTGAAAGGGAGTATCACTCTGTTGCCCAAGCTGGAGTGCAGTGGTGCAATCTCAGCTCACTGCAACCTCTGCCTCCCAGGCTCAAGCAATTCTCCTGACTCAGCCTCCTGAGTAGCTGGGATTACAGGCAGGGTCTCACTTTGTCGCCCAAACTGGAGTGGAGTGGCGTCATCTTGGCTCACTGCACTCTCTGCCTCCCAAGTTCAAGTGATTCTCATGCCTCAGCCTCCTGAGTAGCTGAGATTACAGGCATGCACCACCACACCTAGCTAATTTTTGGTGTTTTTAGTAGAGATGGGGTTTCACCATGTTGACCAGGCTGGTCTTGAACTCCTGGCCTTGAGTGATCCACCCACCTTGGCCTCCCAAAGTGCTGGGATTACAAACGTGAGCCACCATGCCCAGCCTACACTGTATTTCTTAATATTTGTATTATTTTTACTGGTGTATTTTTTTATTGCTTTTTATTTCCCAAATATTTTCGATTGAGGTTCATTGAATCCCTGGATGCAGAACCCTTGGATATAGAGGGCCAACTGTTTGTCAAATTATTTATAATTTGCTTTTTATTTTTTCCCTTGGTATATCAGTTTTGAATTTATTATCAAAATATTTGATCCAATTTTTGTGGGGACAGGGTCTTGCTCTGTCACCCAGGCTGGAGTACAGTGGCATGGTCCTAGCTCACTGCAACCTCAAACTCTTGGACTCAAGTTGTCCTCCTACCTCAGCCTCCCAAGTAGCTAGGATAACAGACATGTGCCACCATGTCTGGGTAAATTTTAAATTTTTTGTAGAGACAGGGTCTCACTATGTTGCCCAGGATAGTCTCGAACTCCAGGCCTCAAGCAGTTTTCCCAGTTTGGCCTCCCAAAGTGTTGGGATTACAGGGCATGAGCCACCACGCCCAGCCCCAATTTTGATTTAATGTAATAATAGTGACTCTCATTGGCAACCAGCTCATTTTCATACTTCTCTAGTGTATTTTTTTAGAAGCAACCATGCTTACTTATTTTATTTAACCACCAATTATGAATTGGTTTTCCATTGGAATGAAGTCTTTTTGAATAGTAAATGCTTGTTTGCAAGTCATCTTATTGAGGTGGAGTCTCACTCTGTCACCCAGGCTGGAGTGCAGTGGCGCAATCTCGGCTCACCGCAACTTCTGCCTGCCAGGTTCAAGTGATTCTCCTGCCTTAGCCTCCCAAGTAGCTGGGATTACAGGTGCCTGCCACTGCGCCCAGCTAATTTTTGTATTTCTAGTAGAGACGGTGTTTCACCATGTTGGCTAGGCTGATCTTGAACTCCTGACCTCAAGTGATCTGCCCACCTCGGCCTCCCAAAGTGCTGGGATTACAGGCATGAGCCACTGTGCCCAGCCTAACACCTATATATTCTGATTATAAATGTTCTGAGAGAAGTTGTTAAAAAAATAAAGAAAACATTACTATAGGCAGTACAACTTTTATGAGTACCTGTTGAGTAATTTATGCTAAACTTTTGTTTTATGTTTCTGCCAGTCAGCAAATCACATGAACAGTTCCCTGTTGTCTTTGTATCGAAAAGGAAATCCTGATTCTGTTTCAAATACTCCTGAGATGGAGCAAAGAGAAACCACCTCTTCAACACCACAGATAAGTTCCAAAACAGGCTCCGTTCCCTTGAAGACCCCTGCCAAAGATTCTGAGGGAGGATGGTTTATTGACAAAACCCCAAGTGGAAAGAAGGACAGTTTTTTCTTGGACCTATCAGATGAGAAAAGTGATCCTAAGAAGTCAATAACTGAGATACAGGTATTTTTGTAATGAAATTTTAGCCCCATATCATCGAAGTACATTTTGACCTTTTAATAGAATACAGTATCGAGCAGATACTTGTGCTTTGTGGAAAACATAAGAACTTTGAAATATATGGAGAATTTGATCACATCGCACTACTTGCCATTCTTTCTATCCTAGTCTAAGCCTTTTCTTGTTCTTGACTTAATTATTGAAACAGCCTTCCAGCTGGAGTCTGTGTCCTTTCTTGTTCCCCTAGTTTATTCTTCACACTGAGATAGCTTTATTTTTTTTGAGACTGGATCTGGCTCTGTCACCAAGACTGGAGTGCAGTGATGTGATCTTGGCTTACTGTAACCTCTGCCTTCTGGGCTCAAGCCGTCCGCGACCTCAGCCTCCTATGTAACTAGGACTACCGGCGTGCGCCACCACACCTAGCTCACTTTTATATCTTTTCTAGAGATGGAGTTTTGCTGTGTTGCCCAGGCTGGTCTTGAACTCTTGGGGTCAAGTGATCCACCCACCTCAGACTCCCAAAGTTCTGGGATTATAGGCATGAGCCATCACATATTATCATTCTTTATTTAAAACCCTCCAGTGGCTTCATTCAGTCTCAAATCCAAAGGCCTGTGACAGCCACTAAAGTCTTTCATGATTTGGCTGCCTGGCTTTCTCTTCAGTTTCGTCTCCTACCACCCTGTTAGGTATGTGAATCTATTTCCTCAGCTGTAAATTTTACAAACTCTAAGTACAAATCAAGTGTTTCCCGTGAAAATTTAGTGTCCAAATTGAGATGTGCTATTAACTTAAAGTGTACATTAGACTTTGAAGACTTACTAAAAAATATAGAATGTAAAACATCTCATTAATAATTTTTTATATTGACTGTTGAGATGATAATATTTTGGATATACTGGGTTAAGTAAAATAGATTATTAAATGAATTTCATATGTGGCTCACATATTCCTCATGGACAATGATGCTTCAACTGGTTTCTAAGAACCAAGCCCTTTGATTTGGCAGAACCTTTCCCCTTTTGATTTATTAATAGGCCTGTCCAAATCTCTTTGCTTTAATTATCTGTGTCATCCATCTATAGAGAACATTGTTATGGTGGGCAAGAACTCGAGTCTTAATGCTGAATTACTTTTTTTGGTTTGAGACGTGGTCTGCCTTGTCACCCAGGCTGACATGGTACAGTGGCATGATCACAAATCACTGTAACCTCCACCTCCTGGGCATAAGCCATCCTCCCACCTCAGCCTTCCAAGTAGCTGGGACTACAGGTGCCCACCACCACACCTGGCTAAGTTTTGTATTTTTTGTAGAGATGGGGTTTGGCCATGTTGCTCAGGCTGGTCTTGAACTTCTGAGCTCAAGTGATCCACCCACCTCAGCCTGAATTATACTTTAAAAAAAATTTTTTTGGCTGGGTGTGGTGGCTCACACCTGTAATCCCAGCACTTTGGAAAGCCGAGGCGGGCGGATCACAAGGTCTGGAGATTGAGACTATCCTGGCTAACATGGTGAAACCCCATCTCTACTAAAAATACAAAAAGTATTAGGAGGCTGAGGCAGGAGAATGGCGTAAACCCGAGAGGCGGAGCTTGCAGTGAGCTGAGTTCGTGCCACTGCACTCCAGCCTGGGCGACAGAACAAGACCCCGTCTCAAAAAAAAAAAAATTTTTTTTAAGAGTTGGAGTATTGGCCGGGCGCGGTGGCTCAAGCCTGTAATCCCAGCACTTTGGGAGGCTGAGGCGGGTGGATCACAAGGTCAGGAGATCGAGACTATCCTGGCTAACATGCTGAAACCCCGTCTCTACTAAAAATACAAAAAACTAGCCGGGCGTGGTGGCAGGCGCCTGTAGTCTCAGCTACTTGGGAGGCTGAGGCGGGAGAATGGCGTGAACCCGGGAGGCGGAGCTTGCAGTGAGCCGAGATCACGCCACTGCACTCCAGCCTGGGAGACACAGCGAGACTCCGTCTCAAAAAAAAAAAAAAAAAAAAAGAGTTGGAGTATTGCTGCATTGCCCAGGCTGGAGTGCAGTCACTTTTTGCAGGCATGATCACAGAACATTATAGCCTCGAAACCCTGAACTCAAGTGGTCCTTCTGCCTCTGAAGTAGCTGGGGCTACAGGTGTGTCCCAGTGTGCTTGGCTGAATTTGTTATGACTGTCAAAGCAGCTCTATAGTCATATTTAATTTAGTGAATCATCAGCTGTCAGATGAAGACAACTATGTAGAAGACTCAGTGAGAAATAAAAGGCAAATATCAGTGTCCTTAATCAAGGAGCTCACAATTCAGAGAGAGAGACCGAGATAAGTAAATCACTCATACAAGGCAGATTATGCTAACTGATAATAGTTGCAAATGCAGTGTCCTGGGAATGTGAGGACGAGGTTAAATGTAACTGAAAGAGGGCCTTGCAGTGTGTCTCACGCCTATAATCCCAGCACTTTGGGAGGCTGAGATGGGCAGATCACCTGAGGTCAGGAGTTGGATACCAGCCTGGCCAACATGGCAAAACCCCATCTCTACTAATAATATAAAAATTAACTGGGCGTGGTGGTGGGCATTTGTAGTCCCAGCTACTTTTGGGAGGCTGAGGCAGGAGAAACGTTTGAATCTAGGAGGCAGAGGTTACAGTGAGCTGAGATCACGCCGTTGCACTCCAGCCTGGGTGACAAGAGCGAAACTCTGTCTCAAAAAACAAAACAAAACAAAAACCTCTAACTGAAAAAATCTGGAAAAGAAGTGGCATTCAAATGTTAAGATTTCTTTTTTCTTTTTTTCCCCCATATGGAATGCTTCACAAATTTCCATGTCATCCTTGCACAGGGACCATGCTAATCTTCTTTGTGTCATTCCAATTTTAGTGTATGTTCTGCCAAGGCCAGCACCAAATGTTAAGATTTAAATTGAGCTTTAAGGGCATGAGGAGAAGGACATTACCAATAGACAGCATCTTTGAGCAAAGAGATTGGGAATAGTTAACAGAGGTGAAAGTGCTCGGGCAGGAATTAATTTTCTTTACAATGCCCCTCTTTAAAAAATAAAACAATTATTGGCATAGAATTTGAAGCATGGCATATTTAAATTTATTTTCTTTTCAGGGTTCAAAAGATTCTTCTCTTTTGGAGAGTGATATGAAACGGAAAGGCAGGCTAAAGAATAAAGGAAGCAAAAGGAAGAAAGAAGATCTTCAGGAAGCAGATGGAGAAATTGAAGCTGTCCTGCAAAAGAAAGGTAAGGTGTGAGTCTTGTTGGTGGCAGTGGTCGTGTTTGCTGTGAGAGAAACATCATTCTGTTCCAAGCTGTTTTGCTTGAGGGACCTTCTATGTGCAGAAATGTTTATCAGAAAATGTTTCTATATTTAATGGACCTTTGTTTACTTAAAGACTATTCACTATAATTATGAGTTACTACTGAACCATTAATCTTTTCATCTCCTCATTTTTGTTTACCAGCTAAAGCCAGGGGGTTAGAATTCCAGATCTCCAATGTGAAGTTTGAAGATGTGGGAGGCAATGATATGACGTTAAAAGTTAGTGCAAATTTCTAAATTTTACCTCAAATGGATATATTACTAATCAGTTATGAAAAAAAAGCCTACCTCTTTGTTTCTAATATGATCTGAGTATAGAAAAGGAAACTGGGAAGATTGAGAAGGGCATACCTGACCTGTACCCTTTAGGGCGTTGCAGGAAAAAAGATGCATACTATTTTGAACTTTTCTATTATTTTGATTATAGTATATATATATATATAAAAAAAGATCCATGTTTTTTAAAGATCCATGCTTTATAAGTAATATTGTCTTAATAGTACTAATAGTAATGGTAACTGTATTTATTTTTTATTTTATTTTTTTGTTTTTGTTTTTTTTTTTTTTGCTTTGTTTTGTTTTGTTTTGTTTTGTTTTTGAGAAGGAGTGTAGCTCTGTCACCAGGCTGGAATGCAGTGGCGTGATCTCAGCTCACTGCAACCTCCGCCTTCCAGGTTCAAGCATTTCTCTTGCCTCAGCCTCCTGAGTAGCTGGGATTACAGGCACGTGCCGCCATGCCCAGCTAATTTTTGTATTTTTAGTAGAGACAGGGCTTCACCATGTTGGCCAGGATGGTGTCGATCTCCTGACTTCGTGATCTGCCCACCTTGGCCTCCCAAAGTGCTGGGATTACAGGCATGAGCCACCACGCCCGGCCGTAATGGTAACTTTATTTTTAATGCCTATTCTTTTTCATTGGCCATGCTCTTTAACTTTGCATTGCATCCTCAAGGTACATAATGTTACAGTTTAGGAAATAGCTCCTCAGAGAGGTTATTGCTGAAATCACACAGTAGGTACCAGAGCCAGGATTCAAACTCTGATCTAAATCTAAATTGTATATTCTACCTATCTGTTCCATTTTGCTGCTCCAAAAAATAGGACATTTCATTCTACTTTGATTCTTCTGTCTTGAAAGACGTCTTTGTGCTTATCCTCTGCTAGGAGGTCTGCAAGATGCTCATACACATGCGTCACCCGGAGGTGTACCACCACCTGGGCGTCGTGCCCCCTCGTGGAGTTCTCCTTCATGGGCCACCAGGCTGTGGGAAGACTTTACTTGCACATGCAATTGCTGGGGTGAGGCTTACTGACACTTATTTGCTTTTGCTGTTTTTGTTGTTATTATTTGTTTTTGTTTTTTCTCTTTGGTCAACGTAAACCAGACATGGCATTCTTCAGGAAGAGAACATAGTTATTGGAACTGATCCCTTTGTTATCATGCTGATATTATTTGTGGTATTTATTCATTTAGTTTATTGTTTCTCAGAGCAACTTGAGGGTTTTTTGTTTTTTTTTTTAATGTATGTAATTGTTTATATGGCAAGAGTTAGGTAGAAAGTAAAATAATACAGTTCTTTTTTTTTTTTTGGAGACGGACTCTCACTCTGTTGCCCAGGCTGGAATGCAGTGGCATGATCTTGGCTCACTGCAACCTCCGCCTCCCAGGTTCAAGCAATTCTCCTGTCTCAGCCTCCCCAGTAGCTGGGATTACAGGCACACGCCGCCACGCCCGGCTAATTTATTACATTTTACTAGAGACAGGGTTTCACCCTGTTGCCCAGGCTGGTCTCAAACTCCTGAGCTCAGGCAATCCGCTCATCTCAGCCTCCCAAAGTGCTAGGGTTACAGGTGTGAGCCACCGCGCCCAGCCATAATAATACAGTTTTAAACAAACCTTTTTATTAACACATAGCTTACATTTTAGTTACTTTGCTTTCCCTTTAACCCAATACTTACTTTATTTTACTTATTTTTTTGAGACAGAGTTTCACTGTCGCCCAGGCTGGAGTGCAGTGGTGCAGTCGTGACTCACTACAGCCTCAACCTCCCAGGCTCAAGTTGTCCTCCCACCTCAGCCTCCCAAGTAACTGGAACCACAGACACACACCACCACGCCCAGCTAATGTTTTTGTTTTTTTTATAGAGACGGAATCCCACTATGTTGCCCAGGCTGGTCTTAAACTCCTGGCCTCAAGCAGTCCTCCTGACTCAGTCTTCCAAAGTGCTGGGATTACAGGCATGGGCCACAGCACCTGCCCTCCCAGTGGTTCTTAGGAGCAGTAAAATAAGAAAATTAGGGTTATATTATTTTTCATAGAGCTAAATTTATTCAAAATTTCTATTTAGAGTCATGTTCTTATACTTCTTAGTTTTAAAATAATTATTTCTAAAATGGTAATAATAGACACTTACTTTGTGAAATTAAAAGTTAGCAATCTTATTTTAACCCTCTCAGATTTTTCAGAAACTGTAGGGGGCAGTAATGTAAAATATCCGAGTAACTTCAATTAGAAAAATAGCATGCTTGCCAGGCGCAGTGGCGCATGCCTGTAATCCCAGCACTTTGGGAGGCTGAGGCGTGTGGATCATCTGAGGTCGGGAATTTGAGACCGGTCTGACCAACATGGAGAAACCCCATCTCTACTAAAAATACAAAATTAGCCTGTAATCCCAGCTACTCGGAGACTAAGGCAGGAGAATCACTTGAACCAGGGAGGCGGAGGTTGCGTTGAGCCAGCACTCCAGCCTGGGCAACAAGAGTGAGACTCCATCTCAAAAAAAAAAAGAAAAAGAAAAATAGCATGTTATACCAAGCACTAATACAATAATGTTCTGTAAAAGAAAATCATTTGTAAAGGGGGACTTGATTGGTTTGCTTCATTTTTGTTGAATAATTCCATTACATGACTACTGCATGCCAGACTTTGGAATATAGTGTTAAGTACCACAATCCTAGTTCTAATATGAGAGAGACATTAAACAGTCGTTCATATAAATAAATGCTGTACGTAATAACAACTATAATAAGTGGAAGACAAGAAGTGCAAAATGCTATGTGGTATGTTGGGATTCCCAAATTAGAGTTGGGTTCAAGGAAGGTGTGGTTGAGGAAGTGAAGTTTTAAGATAAGCACAAGAATGAGAGAACAGTAGTATCTCTTCTCTCTCTTTTTTTTTTTCCCCTTGAGACAGATTTTCACTCTGTTGCCCAGGCTGAGTGCAGTGGCACGATCACAGCTCATTGCAGCCTTGACTTCTCAGGCTCAAGTGATCCTCCTGCCTCAACCTCGCAGGTAACTGGGACTGCAGGTATACATCAGCATGCCTGGCTAATTTATTATTTTTGTAGAGGTGGGGTCTCACTGTGTTGCCCAGGCTGGTCTCAAACTCCTCTCAATGTGCTGGGATTACAGGCATGGGCCCCCACACCTAGCTTCTTCTTAAAGAGTCTCACTCCTCTGACTAGCAACTGGCTACTCTCTGGGTTAGGATTTGGAGAAATACTGGCAGGATGTGTGGGAAACATCTGTGTCACAACCCTTGTATTATCTCCTCAGCAGATGGGTAGGAATTGTTTTGATAGGCCAGGAATGGTCACTCCTGTAACCCCAGCACTTTGGGAGGCTGAAGTGGGAGGATTGCTTGAGGCTAGGAGTTTGAGACCAGCCTGGGCAACATAGTGAGACACAGTCTCTCAAAAAAAAAAAAAAAAAAACAAGAATTGCTTTGGGTCAGCCATAAGTGGGGGTAACATATCTCTTGAGAGTCAAGACCCTTTATTCAGAAAAGAGAACATAATTTTATAGTGACATGTATAAAATAAAAACAAGTTAAATGTGTTTGCATTAAACCATTGATTTTTTTTTTTTTTTTTTTTTTGAGACGGAGTTTCGCTCTTGTTGCATAGGCTGGAGTGCAATGGCGCGATCTTGGCTCACCGCAACCTCTGCCTCCCGGGTTCATGTAATTCTCCTGCCTCAGGCTTCCTGAGTAGCTGGGATTACAGGCATGCGCCACCATGCCTGGCTAATTTTTGTATTTTTAGTATTAAGATGTGGTTTCTCCATGTTGGTCAGGCTGGTCTCGAACTCCCAACCTCAGGTGATCCGCCTACCTTGCCTCCCAAAGTAGTGGGATTATAGGCCTGAGCCACCGTGCCCGGCCAGAACCATTGATTTTCAAATAGTGTTTTTCACTGAGCCAACGTAAAAAGATGAAGTTCCTCAGGAAACTAGCCATTTCAAAAATTTGAGGGGACTGGATAAAGAAAAAGTAGGGCCATTAAAATTTGAACATTTGGTTATTCTTTTATGTGTCTGCATAGGAACTTGACCTGCCAATTTTGAAAGTGGCTGCTCCAGAGATTGTGTCTGGAGTATCCGGAGAGTCTGAGCAGAAGCTGAGAGAACTATTTGAGCAAGCTGTGGTGAGTCAGTTAATGACTAATGCCAGGTGGTCAGACGCTACCAGCTTATATTAAAGATCCTGCTTTTTCTGATGCTAGTATTTGTTAAGCCACTCACTGGCCATTCTTTTATTAATATAAACATGGTAATTTGCTATGCATGATGGCTAAATATTTAAAGTAGATTTAGTGATACCCACTGTTGGATAAATAACCCTTTTCATTTGAAATCAAACATAAATATAATTGGTGAGAAATTCTGGGCTGTCATACTGTAGTTATATGTTGAAAATATATTATCCTTATGATATTTTCCACTCACTTTTACTTTCCTCAACTTAAGTTTGGCCAAAAAAAAAAACTTGTAAGCAATGTAAAAATTGTTATTTAGGATATTATAAAAGCAACCATAAAAATGCCAGAGTAAATTCTGTCATTCCTGACTAGTAAACTAGGGCAATAGTAATATCCAAATCTCATGTGGCTATTGAGAGTATTAAATGAGAGAATTCTTATAAAACCTTCGATATGGTGCCTTGCACACAGCACAAGCCCTGTAAATATTAGCTGTAATATTATTCACACTTGAACAAATATCACTGTGTTTAAAATTTAAAAATGGGGAAAAGTTTAATTTTATGTCATTATTAGCACTGACAATATATAGTAGCTGATGAATATCCAATACAACTGCTAGAAGCCTGTGTGAAATTAGAAGAGAAATTATATTTAAGCAGGAATTGAGAAAAAAAAACATTTTAAATAGCAAGAATGGGTAGGCCATCTACTTAGTTATTGTGTGGGCTGACATTGAAAAAGCTGTGGGCAACACTAGGAGGATAAAGAGAAAAGGGTGGAAAGGGCAGGGTGCAGAACAAAGCTGAACTTTTTCAGGTGCTACCTGTTTCCCAAAACGCAGTAGATTCCATTGTTAAATTGGCATGCATAGCTAGAGACAAGTAGTAAATTTTGTGTGTATGGTAAACATGATAAATAAGGATAAGAGACAAATGGCATCTTTAGGTTGTTAGTTCTGTGTTTAAACCTCTCACTAAACCAGTACTGAGCCAGTACAGTACCTTACAGTAGATGCTCAGTAAATATGTGGCCTACCACCCTGCTTTTCCTGGTCCCCTCTTCCCTAATGAGAATGAGTACAGTAAAGCATGTGGATCAGAGAACAAAAAGGTAAAATCTAATCAAGTGATACTTGCTTGAAAACTATGCTTTCTTTAGGCCACATTCTGATGACCATCATTTATTCTTTTTTTTTCCCCCATTCAGCTTTCCAGGTCACTGACAAGTACTGATGTGCTTGTTTTCTGATGCTTTTGGCCCCTGTAATTTTACTCCTTTGTAACTGGGTAATATATCTAGCAGTCATAGGCATCTTTTGCAAACATTGTCATAAGGATGATTAGGGAAGACAGCCAGCTAGTGATAGGCTAAATATCTTTCCCTTTAAGATGTGGTGGTTCCCATGGTTTTGAGATGCCTTAAGCGACGCTGACAGCCTTAATTAGCATAATCACTGTCACTCCTAACCATTGAGTAACTGAGTAAAATGATTTAGATTGTACATAATTTTCTTCAATTTTTTTCATTTTAACTGATCCTTATCTCTTTTTTGTGGTAAAATATATATAACAGAATTTACCATTTTAAACATTTTTTTAAGTTTTTGTAAATTATTTTATTTCTTTCCGTGATGATTTAGAGGGACTATCTTCAAACCAGTACAGATACTTCATAAATCATACCTGGCTGTTTTCTAACCAGTTGAGTAATCTGTTGCACAATAAGCCACCTCACATCTTTCAGCAAGAAATACATTAAATTTTAATAGTAAAGACATTACACAACGAATTAAGACAACAGTTTAAATTTGCTTTAAGTGTTTCTTTGGGGGAGAGGACACTACACTTCTACTCAATGAAGAGAAACATTTTTACAGTCCAGAGGTCTTTTATTTTTTTAACACCTATTATGCCATGAATTCACAGGGAAGAGGTTCCAGCAGCTCAGGCTCCTTCCTATTGATTCTCAGAGTGCACTTCTCTGGGTGGAGCACGCTGATGCTTTCCTTTTTGTTTCTTTTTTCTGATCATTTTCCTCCACACGTTTCGGAAAGCTATCTCGGCTCTTAGAGAGAGTGCTTAATGTGCTCAGTACGCACATTGATTCTTATACATTGATTATTTTCTTGGCAAGAATCTTGCCCTTGACTTGCTTCTTTACAACAATGCCAGCAGCATGCTGGATAACGTTATAAACTCTTCCAGTTTTGCGTTGGTAACACTTGTGGGACATTCCTTTTTGAACAGTACCCATTCCCTTGATGTCTACAGTATCACATTTCTTCCTTTTCTTTTCCTTTTCCTTTTCTTTCTGACAGAGTCTTGTTCTGTCGCCCAGGCTGGAGTGCAGTGGCACAGTCTCGGCTCACTGCAATCTCCGCTTCCTGGGTTCAAGCAATTCTCTTGCCTCAGCCTCCCAAGTAGCCGGGATTGCAGGCATGCACTACCCACCAGCTAATTTTTTTTTTTTTTTTTTTCTTTGAGATGGAGTCTCTCTCTGTTGCCCAGGCTGGAGTGCAGTGGCGTGATCTCAGCTCACTGTAACCTCCGCCTTCCGGGCTCAAATAATTCTCCTGCCTCCACCTCCCGAGTAGCTGGGATTACAGACATGCACCACCACGCCCGGCTAATTTTTGTATGTTTAGTAGAGATGGGGTTTCACCATGTTGGCCAGGCTGGTCTTGAACTCCTGACCTCTGGTAATCTATACACCTTGGCCTCCCAAAGTGCTGGGATTACAGGAGTGAGCCATGGCGCCCGGCCTACAATATCACATTTCTTATAGATTTGCATATATATAGCCAAAGGAACAGCTCCATGTTTTCTGAAAGGCTTAGAGAACAACTATCAGGTGCCTCTCCTCTTTCCCTTTGTGTTCATCATTTTGGTTAATGACTGGCAGATGGCAGTTCCAACTGAAAAGGCCATTTTAAACATTTTTAAGTGTACAGTTCTGTGGCATTAAGTACATTCATATTGTTGTGTAATCATTACCCACATCCATTTCCAGAACGTCTTCATGTTCCCACACAGTAACTCCCCATTCCTCTCTCCCACCAGTCCCTGGCCACCACCACCATTCTACTTTTTGTCTCAATGACTTTGACTACTCTCGGTAGCTGATCCTTACCTCTTAACTTATTCTTTCTGAACCGTATCTAGTTTATTTCTTAAAAACAAAACAAAACAAAAAACTGGAGGTGATCTTTACACTGATGTATTAGAACTTTACCATCCTTCCTTATTCAGTGTAGCCTTTAAAATAAGCTTCTGGTACTTTTCAGTGTGGATGCTGGGAAAGTTCTGGAGATGGATAGTGGTGACATTTACACAACAGTCTGGAAATATTTAATGCCACTAAACTATATACCCAAAGTGGTTAGAATGGTAAATTTTATGTGTATTTTTCACAGATTTTTTTAAAAGCTTCTGGTGCTTCTCCAATTTCCTCTTATAGCAAATTATAGAGAAAGGCTTGGAGATTCTTATGTTGGTAGAAACCCTCAAAAAGTTTCTAGTAAGCTTGGTTTTGCTAATTTAAAGTTTAGAAACTTCTTGTCTTAATTTTTTTTTCTGTGCATATACTTATCCAAAATCATTGTTTCTGTTTCATAGCGTAGCAAATGTATCTAATTTACAAAAGAATTTCAATAGATTTATCACAAAACATGCATTGATGGAGAGACTGTAAATGTGTAACCCTATCTGCGGTCCCTTACTGTGTACTTTTAATCATCTTGGTTCTCTTAAGTCAGATAAAAATCAGAAGTAATACATGTGAACTGCCTTTTTTAGGGTTATTCTTTTGGCAAATGATCCTTGACCTTTAAGATTTTTTTAAAACTGTTTATGCTTAACTGTGCTTCAGTATAGGGGATGTATTTATGGTTGTCTTTTTGTGATATTTTTATTTCTAGTCAAATGCACCATGTATCATTTTCATTGATGAAATTGATGCTATTACCCCCAAAAGAGAAGTTGCTTCAAAAGATATGGAACGAAGAATTGTAGCCCAACTCCTAACCTGCATGGATGGTTAGTTTAAAATAATAAATTCATTTTAAGAGAATAAATTTTTAAAAATAGTGTAATTAATACATGAAGATATAAAATAATATTTAAATAATAAATATCAAATAGTGTAAAAAAAAAAAGTCATACTGGGCACAGTGGCTCATGCCTGTAATCCTAACACTTTGGGAGGCTAAGGTAGGAGGACTGCTTGAGCCTAGTAGTTTGAGGCCAGCCTGGGCAACATAGCAAGATGCTACCTCTAAAAATAAATAAAAAGAAATAGCACTTGTTTTGTGTATACAAGAAAATTTGAAGTATATATTTTATGTTCCTTGCATTACCAAGTTGCAGGTTGCTGCTTCTTCTGATTAGTGGATTGATTGATTGATGAGATAGAGTATTGCTCTGTCACCCAGGTTGGAATGCAGTGGCACAATCACAGCTCACTGCAGCCTTGACCTCCTGGGCTGAAGTGATCCTCCCATTTAAGCCTCCCAAGTAGCTAGGACCACAGGTGTGCACCACCATGCCTGGCTTTTTTTTTTTTTTTTTTTTTTTTTGAGACAGAGTCTCTCTCTGTTGCCCAGGCTTGAGTGCAGTGGCACAATCTCAACTCGCTGCAACCTCTGCTTCCTGGGTTCAAGCTATTAGCCTGCCTCAGCCTCCTGAGTAACTGGGATTACAAGTGCGTGCCACCACACCTGGCTGATTTTTGAGACGGGGTGTTGCCATGTTGGCCAGGTTGGTCTTTTTGTGATATTTTTATTTCTAGTCAAATGAGGCAGGTTGATCACCGGCCTCAGCTTCCTAAAGTGCTGGGATTACAGGTGTGAGCCACTGTGCCTGGGAATTTTTTTTTTTTTTTTTTTTTTTTTTTGAGACGGAGTCTCGCTCTGTAGCCCAGGCTGGAGTACAGTGGCCGGATCTCAGCTCACTGCAAGCTCCGCCTCCCAGGTTCACGCCATTCTCCGGCCTCAGCCTCCCGAGTAGCTGGGACTACAGGCGCTGCCACCTCGCCTGGCTATTTTTTGTATTTCTTAGTAGAGACGGGGTTTCACCGTGTTAGCCAGGATGGTCTCGATCTCCTGACCTCGTGATCTGCCCATCTCGGCCTCCCAAAGTGCTGGGATTACAGGCTTGAGCCACCGCGCCCGGCCGATTTTTTTTTTTTTTAAAGACAGTCTCACTATGTTGCCCAGGCTGGTCTTGAACTCCTGAGCTTAGTCTTTCTGCTTCAGCCTCCCAAAGTGCCAGGATTCTGTTTCATTTTTATCTAAAATTTTCTTGTCATGTCTTTGAGGCCTGTATTCTGAGAAAAAGCTTTCATGGCTTCCTGCTGGCTAAAGAACACACTGTATAAATTTATACATGATTTCATGATTTCCTTATGATTTCATCTTATTACTTTCTTGTTACCTGTGAGGGAAAATAACCTCAGACCCCCTGCTATTCAATCCTGGTTCAGTTGAGAGAAATAATACTTAGGAAAGATAAGATTTAAGCCCTCAGTTTTGTCTGTTCCTAGAAATACATTCCTAGATTAAGCCCGAACAGCTGAAGACTATTTTATATTCCCCTGCTCGAATTAATTTTATCAGTCTATTCTGAGCCACACACTTCAGCATCCTCCCCAGCCTCCCTGTTGTCCTGCTCACCTTGCATGGATTTGCCATGCATGCTCAACCCTCTGTGCTTTCACTCATGCTCTTTCTTCTACATAGAATTCCATTAACCTATATATCTGCTTGTTAAAATTCTATTTACCCTTCAAGCCTTTTCTGAAATGTTACCGCCTCCATGAACCCTCCCTTATTCCTCAGTTGGAATTCATGATGTCTTTTCTTGTATTACCATGGTGCTTTGTTTATATCTGTTATTATACTTCACAAAATTTGTCTGATGCCATTTTTTTATTTACACACTCGATGTTTCTCAATAGATTGTGAACTGCTGAGGACAGAGTTTGTATTGTATTTATCCTCCTCATACCTTTTACATATTTGACATTTAATAAATGTTGATTTTATATGTACGTCACTGTCAAAATCTGTAATACTTTCTCTTTAACCATGAAATGATTTCTGTAACCATTATTGCCCTCAATGTCAAGTGCTTTGTTCACCACTCTTTCTCTGTCTCTTACTAGATCTGAATAATGTGGCTGCTACAGCCCGGGTGCTAGTTATTGGAGCTACTAATCGACCAGACTCATTAGACCCTGCTTTGAGACGTGCAGGAAGGTTTGACCGAGAAATATGCCTAGGTATCCCAGGTGAAGCATCCAGAGAAAGGTATATTCTTATAGAATGAAGTTTGTATGCCACTAAGTCATCTTAACTGAATGGTTTGAAAGTAAGAGGTGAGAAATACCATGTAGCCTTTTCTTTCTCTCTCACTTTCTTTTTGTACCAATTAAGTTGATTTGGAAAAGGATAAGCCCACATTAAGAAAATGATTTATGCTTGGGTGCAGTGGCTCAGGCCTGTAATCCCAACACTTTGGGAGACTGAGGCAGGAGGATCACTTGAGACCAGGAGTTTGAGCCTGGGCAACATAGTGCGACACTGTCTCTACAAAAAATCAAATTAGCTGTGCACATACCTGTAGTCCTAGCTAGTCAGGAGGCTGAAGCACAGGAGGATTGCTTGAGCCCAGGAGTTTGAGGCTGCAGTAAGTCATGATTGTGCCTCTGCACTCCAACCTGGGTGACAAAGGGAGGACCCACCTCTGTAAAAAACGGGAAGAAAACAATTTACTCATCGGTAGGATAATTGTTTTTCAGAAGTAATAATGGACTTATGTGTCCCTACTCATTTGTCTGGTCTTACTAACAATGGCTTGCATTCTTTAGTTGGCTGACCAGATTAGTGGCAATGTCTGGAGCTATAGAATACAGCAGAGCCATTTGGTCCACATACAGGTTAAATCTGAGTACCATACTTTCACCTATTGCACTAACCTGTCTGAGACCACAGGTCCTGTTATCAGTAATGAGATGGCGGCCAGACAGTTGAAAGCTGTTTGCTGCAGCACCAGCCTTTCCTAGTAATTGAGCAAATGAATAATGTCCATAGAGCAAATAAACATCCACCAATAACCAGAAATATAACTTCATAAGCAAGACTATCTCAGGAAGCACTGTTGAGGTGGTAGAGTGGAAATCGAGGTAAGAAATGTTCTGAAATATTAGGCCAGGTGTGGTGGCTCACACCTATAATCCTAGCACTTTGGGAGGCTGAGGCGGATGGATCACCTGAGGTCAGGAGTTCGAGACCAGCCTGGCCGACATGGTGAAACCCTGTCTCTACTAAAAATACACAAAAATTAGCTGGGCGTGGTGGTGCACGCCCTTAATCCCAGCTACTCAGGAGACTGAGGCAGGGGAATTGCCTGGGAGGTGGAGGTTGCAGTGAGCTGATGTCACGCCACTGCACTCCATCCAGCCTGGGTGACACAGCAAAACCCTGTCTCAAAAAAAAAAAAAGAGTATTTAATGAGGAAGGGGTGAACTGAAGATGAAGATCTTGGTGAGGTCCAGGAACAGTGCGGGAGTAATAGCACATATAAGCTCAGACATGTGAGACTGGGCAGAATGCCGCGTGTGAGATTGTGATCTCAGACAGGGGCCAGATCCAGGTGATGATGAGGTCCAGGGTGTGAGTAAGTAAGTGAGGGAAAAAGGCCAGACCTGGGCGGGATTGGGGTGCAGAGGCAATGAATAGATGCCCAAACTTTGAGTCAGCGAAGGAAAATTATTCCACCTCTGCCTCCTGTTATCCTTGGTCCTTGTCCAATGTTTTTAACATTTCCAAGCTTTAGTTTATTTATCTATAATGCAGTAATATTTATCTATAATGCAGTAATAATAACAGTAATAACTTTATCTGTAAAGTGATTAAAGGCTTCCTGTGAGTATTGAATTAACATAACCTAGCACAATATCTGACACATAGAATTTTTTGCACAATATCTGACACGTAGAATTTTTTAAAATAAGGTAGCTATTGATATCTGTCTCTTTTTTTATTATTTTTTATATAGAGAGAGGGTCTCACTATGTTGCTCAGGTTCATCTTGAACTCCTGCCCTCAAATGATCCTCCCAATATCATCCTGTACTTCAAAAGCATAAAATTATGGAAAAGTTTCAGCATACATAAAAGGAGACCCATATAACTGTTCAGTTTCTATTGGTGTAAAACAGACCACACCAAAATTTAGTGTCTTACAACACTACTCATTTTATTGTGTCACAGTTTCTGAGGATCAAGAATTTGGAAAGGCCTCAGCTAGATGGTTCTGCCTCATGGTCTCACGTGGCTGCAGTAGCTGGAGCTAGTACAGTGGTAGCTTTCCCCTCTTTTGGAGTTTCTACAGTACAATGACTAGAAATATCCACTTATTTTTAGGGATAGAGTACAACTATGAAAAGGATGTTATTATTTTCTGTTAGCCATTTTCATAACATCCAAAATGTTCTTAGTACAGATAGTCCCCAACTGACAGTGGTTTGGCTTATAGTTTTTTCAACTTTACAAAGGGTTTATCATGATGTTTTTGACTTAGAATGGGTTTATCAGGATGTAAACTCATGGTAAGTCGAAGAGTATTTTGTATTCTTATGCATAGTAGCAAACTGGATCTGTGTCTTTTGGAAATAGTTCTTTAGTGGAAAGTTTTCTTGATTCCCATTATTCAGAGTATCCAAGTGAAATTTTAAAAAATTTGTCAGTAATGTTTATCTGCTTCTATTCTGCTCACTTACATGATCCCGTATGATTTTTCTATAATCTTTATTAGCTTGACATTTGAAAATATTAGTCTTCTTTACACATTTATTAATTTTAAAATATATTTTTTTGTCCAAGTTAGTTTATAATATCAAAATATGTAAATAAGAATTAACATTCATTGGTGCATGCCTATAATCCCAGCTACTTCAAAGGCTGAGGCAGGAGAATCACTAGAACCTGGGAGGCAGAGGTTGCAGTGAGCCGAGATTGCGCCATTGCACTCCAGCCTGGGCAACAAGAGCAAAACTCCGTCTCAGAAAGAAAAAAAAAAAAAAGAATTAACATTCATTGGTCACTAACTATGGATCAGCCACTGTTTTATGTGCTTTGCGTGTATTCATTTGTAGCAACCGCCCTCTGAATAAGTGCTACTATAATATAGATTGAATAAATGAAGAAACTGAAGCACAAAGGTTAAGTAACTGGCCCAGATTACAAAGGGTAACAGAGCTGGGATTCAAACTCTTGCAGTTTGGCTTCAGACCTTTTATCCTGAATATCTTTTTTTATTATTATTCGAGACAGAGTCTTGCTCTGTCATTCAGGCTGGAGTGCAGAGACACAATCTTGGCTCACTGCAACTTCCACCTCCCGGTTCTGTCGCCCAGGCTGGAGTGCAATGGTGTGATCTCGGCTCACTGCAAGCTCCGCCTCCCAGGTTCACACCATTCTTCTGCCTCCGCCTCCCGAGTAGCTGGGACTACAGGCACCCGCCACCACGCCTGGCTAATTTTTTGTATTTTTAGTAGAGACGGGGTTTCACTGTGTTAGTCAGGATGGTCTCGATATCCTGACCTCGTGATCCGCCCACCTTGGCCTCCAAAGTGCTGCGATTACAGGCGTGAGCCACTGCACCCGGCCACTCCCAGCTAATTTTTGTATGTTTAGTAGAGATGGGATTTTGCCATGTTGACCAGGCTAATCTCAAACTCTTGACCTCAAGTGATCTGCCTGCCTCAGCCTCCCAGAGTAATTGCAGGTGTGGGATTACGGGCGTGAGCCACTGCACCTGGTCTCATCTTGAATATCTTTTTTTTTTTTTTTTTTGAGACGGAGTCTCACGCTGTTGCCCAGGCTGGAGTGCAGTGGCGCCATCTCGGCTCACTGCAAGCTCCGCCTCCTGGGTTCACGCCATTCTCCTGCCTCAGCCTCCTGAGTAGCTAGGACTACAGGCGCCCGCCACCGCGCCTGGCTAATTTTTTGTATTTTTAGTAGAGAGGGGGTTTCACTGTGGTCTGGATCTCCTGACCTTGTGATCCGCCCGCCTCGGCCTCCCAAAGTGCTGGGATTACAGGCTTGAGCCACCGCGCCCGGCCTTCATCTTGAATATCTTTACTGCTTTTAAGTTTTTATTTAGGTCTTATCAGAAATTGTTCAAGATACTCCTTTAACAACAATTATCTAGAAGTCCAGATTTTTATAGATACCATGTTGCCAGTTAGGTTGAACAAGATTTTTCACACGTGTAGTACAGGGGATGAACAATAAGTAAAGTTAAAGTTGGAGATTTAACTGTCCTCATATAAAATGGGAAGTATATGGCAAGATAATTTTCAATGATGAAGATAATTAATGGTTTGTGTGAATGTGGAGGCTTTTATTTCTGGTAGACATCCATTTAATCTACTGTAAAAGTACCCTCATAAGTTATTTATCTTATTTCCCCTGTAATGTTATAAATTCTTAAAGGCAAAATATTTTTTAAAAATTCTATGTATTCCTCACAGCATTTAGCATGGTTCCTAACAAAGCAGATATTTACCATAATCCTTTCTGGAATAAGATGGAACATGTAACTTAGCATTTGTTGAGTGAATGAACTATTTGATCTTATATAGTATCCATTTTGATACCTTTGGCAGATGTGAAGGACTTCGAATAAATATAGTTGATGACTTGTTTTTGCTATTAAATTGGGAATCGGAAATTTTTTCCCCTGTCTTTTCTACAGAATACTTCAGACGTTGTGTAGAAAACTTAGGCTTCCTCAAGCTTTTGATTTCTGTCACTTAGCACACCTAACTCCAGGCTTTGTTGGTGCTGATCTGATGGCACTGTGCCGAGAGGCAGCAATGTGTGCAGTCAACAGAGTCTTAATGAAGCTACAGGAACAGGAGAAGAAAGATCCTGAAATGGAAGATTTGCCATCTAAAGGAGTCCAGGAGGAAAGTCTGGGAACTGAATCCACTTCTGAAACACAGGTGCTTTCTCTAAAGGCACTTTAAATTGTCCTTTTAATGTTCTTTGTGTTATTTCACATTGAAGCAAGGGTCAGTATAGTTGAGGTTTATTACTTTCTGTTTTATTGGCATTTAATCTATAGAATAATTATCATTTATACCCATAATGTGTATCATTTCAAAAATACGAGTTGTTTTATGTTTATTCTGAATAAATTCATTTTACAATAATGATCATGAGATTCTGGAATGGGGTTGGCAGACTGTGGCCTACCCACCCACCACCTGTTTTTGTAAATTAAAGTTATATTGGAACACAGCCATGTTCATTTGTATACATGTTGCCTCTTTCTGCTTTCGTACTTCACGGCAGAATTCACATAGGAGTCTGCGGCAGATACCATAGCCCACAAAGCCTACAGTGTTACTGTCTAGACCTTTACAGAAAAAGGTTGTCAACTCCTATTTCAGCATTGGCATTTAATTATATCTCCTGATTAACTTTTGGTTAGGTAGATTACAGTGGTCTGTTGACACAACTGTATCCACGTCGGTAGCTGCAAACAGCTCTGGAGGACAGTCATATGAATAATAGGGGACATTTATCAATCTAAGATCAGTATTAAATTTTTTAGTTTTGTGAGTCATGAAAATTCAATATATATAGCATTTTATGTAGCATTTTATAGCTTGCACAGATGGCTTCTGTATGTTATATAATTTGATCCCTGTAACCTTATATAAATATCATTATTTTCCCCATTTTATAATCAAAGGCACTAAGCTTAAGAGGTTGTGATTTGCCCAAGCCCATACAGCCTCTACTTTATAGAGCAAGGGCTTAAATCCAGATCTTTTGTTCTCACATAATTTATTTTTTTCTTAGACATTTGAAACTTTACTTCTGTAAAAAATAACAAACTCATTTGTTTTATAATATTGCATATAAATTAATATTTTATAAATTGAATTAATCGGTTACCTATTTTTTAGACTTATCCTTTCATCTTCACAAAGCAAGAAATCTGCCTTTTAAGATTTGATAGTAATAGGAAAATTGCCTTCCCTCTACTTAGTTGATAAACCGTTAAGGAACCATATTAATGAATTATACTACCTCCAGTGTAACTTTTTTAAATTTCAGCAGGATTCAGCTGTTTCTTGAATATTCATAAATGAAATATGGGAAATATCATGGTTGCTGAAATGAATATTTGCCAACTGCTTATATTTGCTATACCTAGCCCTAGTATATAGAAATCATTCTTATATATTTAATTATAGTTGGTGTATCTTTACTTGACCAGAGCATATGATCCTTTAGAATAAAATGAGCTTGTCTCATGTCAGAGAGAAAATTATTAAACTACATAGAAGTTCAGGATAGCTTACGGAAATACTACAGTAATAATTTTTATAAGTAGAAAATGTAACTTTTCTATAGCTGTTGTGGTGTTTTTTTATCTTCCCCTCAATTGTTCCCTTCAAGGATGAATTACAAAGGCTGCTGGGGTTGCTAAGAGACCAAGATCCCCTCTCAGAGGAGCAGATGCAAGGCCTGTGCATTGAACTGAATGATTTCATTGTTGCTCTATCCTCAGTCCAACCCTCTGCCAAAAGGGAAGGCTTTGTCACTGTCCCTAACGTGACATGGGCAGATATTGGTGCCCTGGAAGACATTAGAGAGGAGCTCACCATGGCAATATTGGTAGGTATATCAGCTGCCAAATATTATTGGCATGTCATGGATTAAGGATCAGAGATAAAGCTCCATGCACGTGTACTAGGTTCTGTGGCTAAACTGACTTAATCACTGTGTCTAAATTGACTTGAATGTAGCACTTCTTTCAAGTGCTAAGCCCCCAACAATGGTTTTTCTTTTGTTTGAGATCTGATTTATTTGTTTATTTTTTTAATTGATATATCACAGTTGTAAATATTTTGGGGGTACATGTGATATTTTGATACATGTATTAAATGTGTAATGATGAAGTCAGAGTAATTGGGATATTCATCACCTCTAATGTTTATGTTTTGTGTTGGGAACATTATACTTTTTTTCTTCAAGCTGTTTTGAAATATACTTTTTTCTTCTAGCTATTTTGAAATATACTTTTTTTCTTCTAGCTATTTTGAAATGTAATTTCCCTACTGGGCTATCAAATACCAGAACTTATTACTCCTATCTATATTTTTTTACCCGTTAACCAACTTCTCTTCGTCATACTCCTCTCCGCTTTGCCTTTCCAGCCTCTGATAACCATCAGTTTGCTCTCCATTTCCATGAGATCCACTTTATTAGCTCCCACTATGAGTGAGAATGTGCAATATTTGCCTTTCTGTGCCTGGTTTATTTTACTGACATAATGACCTCTAGTTCCATCTATGTTGCTGCAAATGACAGGATTTCCTTCATTTTTGTGGCTGAATAATACTCCACTGAGACCTATTTTGTGCTGATCCTTTTGGTTGTGCTTCATTTCTATAGCAGTGAGTTTAAACAAGCACAAAAACCTTCAGGTTTGATTCAGTCAAGACCAAATCGTTTGACAAAGACTTTCTGAACCTGATTTTATGGGTCAAGGCAATTTTAATGCACGTAAAACTTCGGATTAATTTTTTTTTTTTTTTTTTTTTTTTGAGACGGAGTCTCACGCTGTTGCCCAGGCTGGAGTGCAGTGGCGCCATCTCGGCTCACTGCAAGCTCCGCCTCCCGGGTTCCCGCCATTCTCCTGCCTCAGCCTCCTGAGTAGCTGGGACTACAGGCGCCCGCCACCGCGCCCGGCTAATTTTTTGTATTTTTAGTAGAGACGGGGTTTCACTGTGGTCTCGATCTCCTGACCTTGTGATCCGCCCGCCTCGGCCTCCCAAAGTGCTGGGATTACAGGCTTGAGCCACCGCGCCCGGCCCCGGATTAATTTTTATTTACTTTACTTTTCTACTCATCGTTCCGTGATTCATTAATTGAAATATGATCGATTTAGAGGTATGTACTACTGAAAGAGAAAATACACTGGAATTATAGTCAACAGGTATCTCTGACAAAATTTTAACTATGCAAAAGTTACTGCTGCGTCTGATTTCTTAGAGGAGACCATTGTCTAAACATTTTATAACCTAGATATTTAAATGGTTTTCTAAAAAATATTTGTCGAAATATTCTATTGTTATGTCTAAAATGTTCTTAGATGTTACGTTCAAGTATACATTCCTCAAGCGCGGGGACTTTTCTCTTTATCACCACAGGGCATGAACAGGTAAACAGGTACTATTCATATCTTTAGGCCTCACAGTCATGTTGAAATTAAGCCTGAGAGGCCGGGCACAGTGGCTCCTGTCTGTAATCCCAGCACTTTGGAAGGCTGAGGCAGGTGGATCACCTGAGGTCAGGAGTTCGAGACCAGCCTGGCCAACGTGGTGAAACCCCAACTCTACTAAAAATGCAAAAATTGGCCGGGCGCGGTGGCTCAATCCTGTAATCCCAGCACTTTGGGAGGCCGAGATGGGTGGATCACGAGGTCAGGAGATCGAGACCATCCTGGCTACCACGGTGAAACCCCGTCTCTACTAAAAAAAATACAAAAAAAACTAGCCGGGGCCGGGCGCGGTGGCTCAAGCCCGTAATCCCAGCACTTTGGGAGGCCGAGACGGGCGGATCACGAGGTCAGGAGATCGAGACCATCCTGGCTAATACGGTGAAACCCCGTCTCTACTAAAAAATACAAAAAACTAGCCGGGCGAGGTGGCGGGAGCCTGTAGTCCCAGCTACTCGGGAGGCTGAGGCAGGAGAATGGCGTAAACCCGGGAGGCGAAGCTTGCAGTGAGCCGAGATCGCGCCACTGCACTCCAGCCTGGGTGACAGAGCCAGACTCCGTCTCAAAAAAAAAAAAATTAAAAAATAAAAATAAAATAAAAAAATAAAAAATACAAAAAACTAGCCGGGCGAGGTGGCGGGCGCCTGTAGTCCCAGCTACTCGGGAGGCTGAGACAGGAGAATGGCGTGAACCCGGGAGGCGGAGCTTGCAGTGAGCTGAGATCCGGCCACTGCACTCCAGCCTGGGCGACAGAGCGAGACTCTGTCTCAAAAAAATAAAATAAAAAATACAAAAATTAGCCAGGCGTGGTGGCATGTGCCTGTAGTCCCAGCTACTCACAAGGCTAAGGTAGGAGGATCGCTTGAACCCAGGAGGCAGAAGTTGCAGTGAGCCAAAGTAATGCCACTGCACTCTATCCTGGGTGATAGAGGCACGCTCAAAAAATAAAAAAATAAAAAAACATAAAATATATATCTGAAGATAATTTGAACCTGCAGTATAAAATAGGTATGTAATGGATCACCGTTGGTATCATTCTTTCCAGGCACCAGTACGCAACCCAGACCAGTTCAAAGCTCTTGGATTGGTGACTCCAGCTGGGGTCCTCCTTGCTGGTCCGCCTGGCTGTGGGAAGACTCTGCTGGCAAAGGTATATATGTTCAATTGCATGTAATTGATTTCTTACTATCAGATATGAATTTAACTTTAAATATTACAGTTAGGTAAGTCTTATGCATAATTTTTATCAGAAGTTTATTTTAGCAAAACTGACAACTTTCTTCATGAAAATTTCCTACTTTTTTAAATTACAAAGGCACATGATTGAAAAATGTTTATATCAACCATAATCCTATCAATTTTAACATACAATTATATATTTTCTGTGTATTATATTTTAGCTTTTTAGTGAGTATTATTCCATAGTTTAAGTTTTTACTTGACTTGGTTTCCTGCTTTGGTATTGTTATTGTTTATAACTTAAATATTTCTTGTAATTATTTTCTAAAATTGGTTTTTCATAATAGAAAATAAAAATAAGCAAAAAGGAAAAGCATTGTGTGTAATTCACTACTATGTACTACTATTATTTCATTTCATTGTCAATCCTTCAGATTTTTTCTATGCATACATATCAAAATAATATCTAACTTTTACATTTTTACATGCATGTTTACAAACATAAGCTTTTTTTCCCCCCCCTTTTTGAGACAGAGTCTCATTCTGTTGCCCAGGCTGGAGTGCAGTGGCATGATCTTGGCTCACTGCAACCTCCGCCTCCCGTGTTCAATCAATGATCTTGCCTCAGCCTCCCGAGTGGCTAGGATTACAGGCACACGCCACCACGCCTGGCTAATTTTTGTATTTTTAGTAGAGATGGGGTTTCACCATGTTGGTCAGGCTGGTCTCAAACTTCTGACCTCGTGACCTGCCTGCCTCAGCCTCCCAAAGTGCTGGGATTACAGGCATGAGCCACTACACCCAGCCACAGATATAAGCTTTTTTAAACATATTTTTCTCACTTAGTTATATTTCCTGAGCATCGTCACATGTCAGTATATATTGATAAACATCAATATTTTTAATGCCTGCATAATATTCTACCATAAAGATAGATGTTCTATAATTTATGGAAATGATCCCATATTGAAACACAACACTACTTTAAATGGTCTTGCACTTATATGTTTGTAGTTTGACTAATAATTATATTAGAATGCATATCTAAGTAATTTTCCAGTCAAAGGAATGTATGTTTTTAAAGCTTTTGAGCCATATTATTAAAATGCCTTCCTAAAGGTTTTCAGCAGTTTTTACCTTTGTATCAATAGGATATGAGTATCAATTTTCCCACACCTTAAACTAGTGATGGCCATGAACGTTGCTTTTAATAATGGACAATTTAATAGGTAAAAATGCTATCTTGCAGTTTAAGTCGCATTTTTAAAATTACTAGTGTTTTTTTGGCCAGGCGTGGTAGCTCATGCCTATAACCCCAGCACTTTGGGAAGCCGAGGCAGGTGGATCACTTGAGGCCAGGATTTCGAGACCAGCGTGGGCAACATGGTAAAACCCTGTCTCTACTAAAGTAAATTACAAAATTAGCCAGGTGCAGTGCTGCATGCCTGTAATCCCAGCTACTGGGGAGGCTGAGGCACAAGAATTGCCTGACGCAAGGAGGCAGAGGCTGCAGTGAGCCAAGATCATGCCACTGCATGCCAGCCTAGGCAACAGAGTGAGACTGTCTCAAAAAAGAAAACAAAAACTAATGTTTTTTTAATTTAAATATGTTTATTGGCTATTTTTCTTTGTGAATTGTCTATTCATATCCTTTCCTGTTTTTCTAATGGCATACATGTGATTTTCTTTCTTATTTATAATCACTTCATATATTAAGATTTGTTATTTATAAATGTTGATCAGTTTATCTTGACTGTAATCATGTTTGACACCTTGAGCTTTTTTGGTTTTATTTTTATGTGGGCAAATTTCTGTCTTTTTGTGCTTTTTTTTTCCCTTTGGACTGATGCTTATTAGAACTGTCTTCCCTACTATGCAGCCATAAAAAAGGATGAGTTTGTGTCCTTTGTAGGGACATGGATGCAGCTGGAAACCATCATTCTTAGCAAACTATCACAAGAACAGAAAACCAAACACCGCGTGTTCTCACTCATAGGTGGGAACTGAACAATGAGATCACTTGGACTCAGGAAGGGGGACATCACACACTGGGGCCTATTATGGGGAGGGGGGAGGGGGGAGGGATTGCATTGGGAGTTATACCTGATGTAAATGACGAGTTGATGGGTGCAGCACAGCAACATGGCACAAGTATACATATGTAACAAACCTGCACATTATGCACATGTACCCTAGAACTTAAAGTATAATAATAATAATAATAAAAAAAAGTCAAAAAAAAAAAAAGAACTGTCTTCCCTATGTGTAAAGTATGTTATCCATCATTTTCAGTGTCTGTATAATATTACATCCATAACTAACCCTTATCAACTTTTAAAAATATTTTGAATTACTTGTAAGAAATTGAAATAATAACATGTTTAATAAGTATCACAGCAACCGAATTATAACTCCTCAGTAAATATCAAATGTCCATAGTGCTGTGTGTAAAACTTACGTTTATTTATACTACTAATTTTCCTTGCTTAATGTGTTCAGTACTCTTACAAGGCATTGCTTTCAGGGAGCTGGGTATGGAGTTAGAAGAGAACGACACAGTCATTGATCTACATTTTTTTCACAATAGTTTTGGAAAAATATAGCCAGAAAGAAGGTTCTGCATGCTAGTGTGTGAATTCTCCAGGTCAATGCGTTCCCTTTCGTGTGTGTCTTATAGTGTTTATTATTTAATTAGTTACATCTGCCTTTGAGTAGTCCTGTTCACAGCAGAGAGGAGGTAGCTTGGATAACTTGAAAAGCATATATGGTACTAAAACATCATAGATCCACATTTCTCCTCTTCTTCTCCCCCCTACTGAACTGCCAACAATTGAGGACCACTCTGTTTAGTCAGATTTCTTTTTGTGTGTGTGTGTGTGTGTGTCTGTGACAGAGTCTTGCTCTATCGCCCAGGCTGGAGTGCAGTGGCACAACCTTGGCTCACTGCAAGCTTCACTTCCCGGGTTCACGCCATTCTCCTGCCTCAGCCTCCCGAGTAGCTGGGACTACAGGTGCCCACCACCATGCCCGGGTAATTTTTTGTATTTTTAGTAGAGACCGGGTTTCACCGCGTTAGCCAGGCTGGTCTCGATCTCCTAACCTCGTGATCCGCCCATCTCGGCCTCCCAAAGTGCTGGGATTACAGGCGTGAGCCACTGTGCTGGCTTTAGATTTCTTATATCTGACCTTTGGGAGCGGGGACTCTTACCTAGGACTCCATGGATGGACTTCACAGCTTCACTGAATCTATGAGCCGAGGCCATGTATTGTGTGTATATGTATTGTTTCTGGGGAAGAGTGTTCACAACAACTTTCATCAGGTTCTCCGAAGGGTGCAAGACTATGTGCCCTAGAATCCAGAAATAGAAAATGTCCTTGAATGGCAGAGGCAAAGTGTGGCCTAGGATAAACTTATGGAACAAATTATAGGTCAGAACCTAGAAACCTAGAGATGCATATAAAATTAGGTATTTGGCTGATCTTGATTGTTTTATTTACTCAGGATAACCAAATAATACAATTTTTGTTGGCACCTGCACATACTAAGTATGTAACTAGCATAAAGTCAGGGCATGCAGTTGCTGGAGTTGGAGAGGTTTGGGAGAGTAAGAATTGGGAGTCTAGTTTTGGAAGTGATAGTTTTGAAATGCTTGTGTGATCCAAGTGGTGATGCTGAGGAGTAGTAAGTGGAACATAGATCGGGAGCTCAGATACCAGGTTCTAAGAATAGGAAGGACTCTCTTCCATGATCATTTTGAAGTTCTGATTGATTTTATTCAGATTTCACCTCTGCGTTCAGATTGTACTTCTTAGACTCTTCTACACATACAACTATGTGTTTCTCAACATTGACCCTTCGTAAAGACTGATAACTGATGTTGTTAAATTTTCATTTGTAAATGAATGAATACTTTCACCCCATGAGGTATTTCTTGAGTACAGAGGCTAGCATTTTCACTGGAATCCCAAATTAAGGCTATAAATGTATTTGTATTTACATAATAAGCATGTTTATGTAAACAAATGTTCACATAAATATTTTGTGTCATTTCCATTTGATTTATAGCCTTAGTAATTCTTAGAAAGTCCTAGGTTTCAGCCTGGGCATTGTGGCAAAACCCTGCCTCTACCAAAAAAATACAAAAATTAACTGAGTGTGGTGGCAGACTCCTGTAGTCCCAGCTCCTCGGAAGGCTGAGGTGAGAGGATTGCCTGAACCTGGGAAGTCAAGACTGCAGTGAGCTGTGATCTCATCACCGCACTCCAGCCTGGGCGACAGTAAGATTCTGTCTCAAAAAAACAAAAAAAAATTAAAGTGAAATTAAAAAAAAAAAAGAAAGTTGTAGGTTATCATTTGATTTTACCTTTATGTATTCCCCTTTTCCCATTTGTCTTTTTTTCTTTTTCTTTTTCTTTTTTTTTTGAGACAGAGTCTTGCTCTGTTACCCAGGCTAGAGTGCTATGGCGCAATCTTGACTCACTGCAACCTCTGCCTCCTGGGTACGAGCAGTTCTCCTGTCTCAGCCTCTCGAGTAGCTGAGACTATAGGCACATGCCACCACGTCCGGCTAATTTTTGTATTTTTAGTAGAGATGGGGGTTTCACCATATTGGTCAGGCTGGTCTTGAACTCCTGACCTCAGGTGATCCACCCGCCTCAGCCTCCCAAAGTACTAGGATTACAGGCGTGAGCCACCGCACCCAGCCCTTTTTTCCTTTTAATAAGAAACAAGTCACTATTAATATAGGAAGGGAGACACAGACTTAAGACCACAAAAAGGGCTGGGCGCCACTCATGCCTGTAATCCTACCATTTGGGAGGCCGAGGTGTGCAGATCATGAGGTCAGGAGATTGAGACCATCCTGGCTAACATGGTGAAACCCCATCTCTACTAAAAATACAAAAAATTAGCCGGGCTTGGTGGCGAGCACCTGTAGTCCCAGCTACTCAGGAGGCTGAGGCAGGAGAATGGCATGAACCTGGGAGGCAGAGCTTACAGTGAGCCGAGATTGCACCACTGCCCTCCAGCCTAGGCGACCGAGTGAGACTCCGTCTCAAAAAAAAAAAGAAAAGAAAAAAAACACAAGAAGTCCTTTGTCACACATCATCATTATTATTGTTGTTATTATTACTGTGTATTGGCCTTACTTGTGTCTTTTTGTTTCCTCTTGCTAGGCTGTTGCAAATGAGTCTGGACTAAATTTTATATCTGTCAAGGGCCCTGAATTACTAAACATGGTAAGTTATTGAGCATGAGTCATTATTTTAGATTAGAAAAAGTAATGGTCATGCAAGCTACGGGGTAAAATGTTCTCAGATCTTTCAGCAGTTGTGGTATTTTGGTATTTAAAATCAGTGCCATAGGAGTGAGGAGGTTGAGCTTTGCTCTCCTCTGCTACTTTGGGTGTATAAATGCTTTCTCAATTAAGTCTGTTAACCTCTGAGCCTGAATTTTCCCACAGCTAGAAGCAGTAGAGCAAAGATTTCAGTCTGAGTTGTCTGACTCCTGATCTACTTTTTATCCTGTTGTCGTGTGGCTTAGATGAGTTCTGTATTAATAAATAAAAATACTTCTGGAGATAGAAGTCACTCAAGTGCTGTATCTTCCTTCTGCATTTAAGCAATTTATTATCTAAATTTAAGACACTTTGAATTTCTTATTTTTTGTCCTTCTCTATGAAAAGTAAAAATGCCATTCTATGATATATTCCAACAAAGAAGAAATGAGGGTAACATTTGTTTTAAAAGGTTTTTAAAATTTATCTCTACCCCAACTTTTAAATCTTTCCTATTGTGTATTACTTTCTCCCTAAAATAAGGGAGTTATACTTAAGTATTTCCTATGGACTTTTTACATACCTCGTAACTTTTCTTGCACTTCGTTTTCCAGCAGAGGTGGTATTAGATGTGAACCTTGAAGCAGAGGGCGTTGGTGGGAACTGGGATTGGAAAAGAAGGTTATAGCCAGACGCTGAAGGGCCTTTATACCAAGCTAGAATTTGGATGTTAACTTCAGACTATCAGAGAGCTAATAGAGGCTTTAAATAAAGCAAGAGTGTAACATATTTTTAAAGATTGTAATTAGTAAAAATTTTATTATAAAAGTTTCCACATATAAGGAATTCCAAAGAGTAATATAATGTACCCCTATGTATCTATCACCCAGCCAAAAAAATAAAAATAAAAAAAAAATGCACTTAAAGCTTTTGCAAACCCTTCCTCGTGATGTTCCCTGTTCTGTCTCCCATGGAACTTACCACAAGGCTGAATTTGGTGCTTATTAGTTCCATGCACTTCTTTCTATATTTACTATGTATGTATGTATCCCTAAACAATATATAGTATTATTTTATATGTTTCAGAAGTATGAGGCCAGGCACAGTGGCTGACACCTGTGATCCCCAGCACTTTGGGAGACTGAGGCAAGAGGATCACTTGAGGCCAGGCATTTAAGACAGACCAATGTACCAAAACCCTGTCTCTACCAAAAAAAATTTTTAATGTAATTTTGTTTTTAAGTATGAGGTTTATGAGATAATTGGAAATGTTAGTGCTTACTGAATATTTGATATTAAGGAAATACTAATTTTTAAGTGTAATAATGACATGTTAAAATCATATTTTGGAGATACTGAAATATTTATAAATAAAATAGGACATCTAGGATTTTCTTCAATAAAACAAGGAAAGTGGACAGGAGTATAGATGAAGCAAGATTGGTCATACATTGAGTTGATAATAATTGAAGGTCAGTGATGGATACATTTGAAGTTTATAACTGTTATATCTACTTTAGTTATACTTTTGGACTCTCCTTATACACTCTCCATGGTATAAAGCAAAACAAACAAAAAAGCCCTTTAAATAGTGTGTATTCTTTTACAACTTGGTTTGGTTGGGTTTTTTGGTTTTTGTTTTGTTTTGTTTTGTTTTTTGAGAGAGAGACAGGATCTCTGAAAGCAGAGGTTTTGCTATGTTGCCTGGGCTGGTCTCAAACTCCTGGCCTCAGGTGATCCTCCTATCTCAGCCTCCCAAAATGCTAGGATTACAGGCGTGAGTGACTACACCTATTCTTGGTTGTTATTTTTGTTCAATATTTACTTATAATACTTATCTCTATTGATGTATTTTTAGTTTATTAACTTTTTGTGTGGCATTTCATTGAATGAATATAACCATACTTTAAAAATTAGGGTTTTTTTCCTGATGAATTTTTAGGTTGAATATTATATATGTATATCTTTGCATATATTTGTGAGATTTTTTTCTGCCTAGGGTATATACCCAGAAGGAGAATTGCTGAATCTTAGAGTATGTGCACTTTCAAAAATATTAGGTATTGGCTGGGCATAGTGCCTCACATCTGTAATCCCAGCACTTTGAGAGGTCAAGGCAGGAGGATTGCTTGAGGCCAGTTTGAGACCAGCATGGGCAACATAGTGAGACCCTGTCTCTACAAAAAAAAAACCATAAAATTAGCCAGATGCACACCTGTAGTCCCATCTCCTTGGGAGGCTGAGGTAGGAGGATTGCTTGAGCCTAAAAGGTCGAGGCTGCAGTGAGCTATGATCGCGCCACTGCTCTCCAGCCTAGACAACACAGCAACATCCTGTCTCTCAAAAAAAAAAAAAAAAAAAAAATTGGATATTGCTAACTGTTTTAATAAAGTAATTGTATCAGATTGTCCCACATTCGCAACAGCAGTGTTGGTATCAGATATTTTCATTTTTGCCAGTCTGGTGAACATGACATTTTGCCTCATTGTGGTCTGATTTGTTTTTTATGGGTGGGTAGGGGGAAGAGGTCTATGGAAGAGTGCAGAATGTCTCTGAAAGATTAGATGATCTGGGCTGGGCACAGTGGCTCACGCCTATAATCCCTGCACTTTGGGAGGCCAAGGTGGGTGGATCACTTGAGGTCAGGAATCCAAGACCAGTGTGGCCAATGTGGTGAAACCCCATTGTAAAAATACAAAAAAATTAGCCAAGCATAGTGGTGGGTGTCTGTAATCTCATCTACTCAGGAGACTGAGGCAGAAGAATCGTTTGAACTTGGGAGGTGGAGGTTACGGTGAGTAGAGATCACACCACTGCACTCCAGCCTGGGCAACAGAGTGAGACTGTCTCAAAAAGAAAGATTAGATGATCTAGTGAGGAAAATGGGCATCCTGGGATTGGAAAATGAGTTCACTCTAGGACATTTTAGATTAAACAGCCATCTGGAGATGTCTAGCAGGCGGTAGGAAATGTGAATCTGAAGCTCTGAAGAGATTTGAAAGTCACTATCATCCAAGTGGTACCTAAAACCATGGGAATGGGTTCAGTCTGGTAGGACAAGTTTATTAAGTAAAAGAACAATTACATTAAGGGTCTCTGACTGAACCCTGAAAGATTCAAGCAATTAAGGGATAAAGAAGCAAGATCTGGCAAAGGAGACTGAAAGTACTTGGTCATAAGATGCAGGACACCCCAGACCAGCTAAGCCTGAAAACCAAGGGAAGATGAGTTTTTCAGCCTTGTCAGTGTGACCAAACAGTATAAAAGATATTGAGAGTGGGACTTGGGATTTAGTTATTAGAAGGTCATTGGTGGCTTTAGGGAAAATATGTTTAATAATGATGTTTGCAAAAGCCAGACTAAAATGGTTGAAAATTTGATGGCCAATAAAGATTTTGAGATAATAAATGTAGGATCTTTACTTGAAATGTGGCATGTTTCAAATAAAGGATAAAATGGGCTTTTCTTTCATTTACTTATTTTTAATCACTGTTGCCTTGTTAAGATTAAATAGGTTTTAATATGTCCTTGTTGAAACTTTAGGTTTACTTTTCCCTAAATTAAATTTCCTTTTACCTAGCTACCTTGGTTTGCCATTTCCAAAGTCACTTTGCCAACAGTATTGATTGTTCTCTTCTATTCCTGTCTGAAACTTTATGTCTCCCAGCCCCCTGAGATGCCTTCTTTTACAACAGTTCTGAATATTTTGCTTCAGCATTACAAGTGTAGTTTTTGCTGAATTAGATTTTCCAGGAAAGTCTACTATATTTGTACACTATTGTATTTGCACACTGTGTGTTATATTTGTACACTGTGCACTATATTTGTATACTGTGCAGGATATTAGGACAGAAAAATTTGAATGGGACTCCTGCTTTCCAAGGGCTATGTAATATAATATAGTGAGGGTAGGAGAGCTCAAATGTTATAATAAGGATAAAATCTGAATATCTGAATAGGACTCCTGCTTTCTAAGGGCTTTGTAATATAATATAGTGAAGGCAGAAGAGCTCAAATGTTGTAATAATACAAAGTACTCGAAGAGCAAAGAAATACTTTGGGTTTGGTTTGGGTCAAATGATAGTAAAACAGTTTTATATATCAAATTCCAGAAAGTATCAGGATGAGCCATATACATTTGCTGATATTTAACCATTTTTGACCTGTAATAGCCAACTGCATATAGTTCAACTTAATCAAATTTGCTATTATGGGAAGAATGATTAATGAGGATCTTTTAGAATGTAAGAAGAAATGTTCGGAGGTAGGTTAGAAAGCAGTTCAAGTAAGGGAAGCAGAATGAGCAAAAGTTTAACGAAAAATACCAAAAGGATGTGAGGGAAAGAAATTTCTAGTCAAAGGAAAAAATAGCACTTGAATCGCTGTCATCTGCGGTGTATTCTTTGCCTTGATTATTTATTCTGGCCATAGAGTCATTATAGCAGAGGTGATATGAAATAGTTGGCACTGTAGGCCGGGGGCAGTGGCTCATGCCTGTAATCCCAGCATTTTAGGAGGCTGAGGCGGATGGATCATTTGAGGTTGGGAGTTTGAGACTAGCCTGGCCAACATGGTGAAACCTCGTCTCTACTAAAAAGACAAAAATTAGCCAGGTGGTAGTGGCAGCATGCCTGTAATCCCAGCTCCTCGGGAGGCTGAGGCAGGATAATTGCTTGAACCTGCAGGGCAGAGGTTGCAGCGACCGAGATCGCTCCACTGCACTCCGGTCTGGGTGACAGAGAGACCCTGTCTTAAAAATAATAATAATGATTGGCACTGTAAAGATGTTTTTTGGATTCCATCTTATTTAGCAGTTTCATTAAGAAAAAACTCTTTCTTAGTCATCTGGTTTGACATTTTACGAGAAAAATTTCTTATGCCTAAGCTAAAAGCGAAATCATCCTTACATGTGGCTTTTCATATTACTTAGTCCTAATGTTATAGTTGCTTGTGAATTGCTATATTTCTTGACTTATCTTAATGTTTTATGTTTTGATTTAGATTTCAACATAGAGTAAGCCATTATGAAACCTGTTAAATGCCTAGTTGGCTCACTTTGCCTCCTCTGATGCTGTATGACAAAATAGTTATTCCTTTATTTAGTAAGATGACTTTTGTAGAAATAACAATAAAATAGTAATTTGACTTATGTGCACGTAAAATACTGTTGAATTAATGAAAATTACTGCTGGATATTTTATATGCACAAGGCTTACAAGATTAGTTCTAAAATACAATTGAATTTTGGTGATTTTTTTGAGCTAGAGAAGACCTTACGTTTCACTTAAGTCTTCATTTTATAAATAAGGAAATTTATAGAAGGCTTAAATAGTTGCTACTTTTATTAAGTTGAACTATATGCAGTTGACTATTACAGGTCAAAAATGGTTAAATATCAGCAATTGTATATGGTTCATCCTGATACTTTCTGGACTTTGGCACATAAACTAGTTTTATGTCACATAAAACTGTTTTACTGTCATTTGACCCAAACCACAAAGTTGAACCGTTGGTATTTTATTTCCTTTCTGTGTATGTTTAGTATGTTGGTGAGAGTGAACGTGCTGTGCGACAAGTTTTTCAACGAGCCAAGAACTCAGCACCCTGTGTGATATTCTTTGATGAAGTGGATGCTTTATGTCCTCGAAGATCAGACCAAGAGGTAATTATCATGGACTAGTGGTTTACAGATTCTTTTAGCACAATAAACCTTTTCTATGTTCTAAGCCAGGTATTTCTTATGAAGTCATACCTTAGGAGCATTGAGACTCTTAGTGAAGACACCTAGTAATTTGAAATCAAATCTTAGAGATAGCAGTTGTATTCTGTATCTGCCTCTGCATCCATTTTTTTTCCTGTTTATTATTTTGGTTGCACAATCTGTAGGTCATCCTAATTCACACAAATGAGTAGGTGAGTATGGAAATGATATTAGTTTGAAATAGCTTGCCTTATAATCTTGTTATCCTACAACATTCTTGAGCTAAAAGAGTTCTTGAGACAGGAAAAAAAACAATTTAAGATATCATGCACTCAAAATAGGGTCAGGTTATTAACTTTAAGACCCCAAACATTTTCTCTTAAGTAAGACATTAAAATGAAGAAGATAAAAAAAGACCCAACACCCATTTATATCTGGAGAAGATATAAAATTGATCTGCATTGAATACCACTTGCATCAGCCACACTGAGTCACAGTCCTTAGAGATTTCAGTACAGAGTACCAGAAACAGTTGTTATTAGGAGTGCTATTATATAACAATTTGAAGCTTAGTGAAGCATAACATAAACCATAAATATATAACCTTTTTGAAGCAGACAGCAGCTACTTTATTTATTTATTTATTTATTTATTTATTTACTTATTTATTTATTTATTTTTGAGACAGAGTTTCACTCTTGTCTCCCAGGTGGGAGTGCAATGGTGCGAACTCGGTTCACTGCAACTTCCGCCTCCTGGGTTCAAGCGATTCTCCTCCCTCAGCCTCCTGAGTAGCTGGAATTACAGGCACCCGCCACCATGCCTGGCTCATTTTTGTATTTTTAGTAGAGACAGGGTTTCCCCATGTTGGTCAGGCTGGCCTTGAACTCCTGACCTCAGGTGATCCATCCGCCTCGGCCTCCCAAAGTACTGGGATTACAGGGTTGAGCCACCACGCCCGGCCACAGGTACATTTCTTGTAAGATGACTGAGGAAATGGTTACATTTCTTTTGTTGTTGTTGTTGTTGTTTTGTTGTTGAAACGGAGACTCACTCTGTCACCCAGGCTGGAGTGCAATGGTGCGATCTCGGCTTACTGCAACCTCTGGCACCCAGGTTCAAGCGATTCTCCTGCCTCAGCCTCCAGAGTAGCTGGGATTACAAGCGCCCGCCACTACTTGGCTAATTTTTGTAGTTTTTAGTAGAGATGGGGTTTTACATCATTTCTGAAACCTAGGAAATCTTTTGTGATTTATTTTAAATAAGTGTGTGTGTGTGTGTCTTGGGTCATAAAACATTACATGCCTCATTTTGCTAAAAATCTCCAAAAACATTCAAAAGTCACAAAAAAAAGCTGACTGATACAAATAAATAAATAAATGTGACTCACATTTTAGTGGTTTTGTTTCTTCATCCAGTAGTCATTGATACCATCATAGAAAATTCTTATTACAGGCTTGTCTTTGATAGTGATGTCAGTGACTGAGGCAGAGATCCTTCCCAGGTTCCCCAGTCATATTCCAAAGTCTACTGTGGGCTATGGAGCAAAACACAGTACTTTGATACCTCCAGTTGGTTAGGGCACGGCATGCTCTGGATTTTATTCTTTTCCTTTTTATTCCCATCTCTTCTGCCATGAATAAACCCTTCATTTGTCCACAGCCCCTTCAATTGGTTTGCAGCTCTCTACTGTTAGCTGGTAAATCTAAATTTGGAGAGGTTCATTGTCAACTGTTGCCCTCAAAGAAGTCTGTAGCCGTATGAAGTACATGTCTGACTTCTGGTTTATCTCTCTCTTTTTTTTTTAAAGAATAAAGAATGGCTGCTCCATAGGCAGAGCGGCCTTATTTGTTTCTTGGATGTCTACTGCCATGCATTTCTTTTTTTTCCTTTCCTTTCCCTTTCCCTTTCCTTTCCTTTTTTTTTTTTTCTTGAGAAAGAGTCTTGCTCTATCACCCAGGCTGGAGGCTAGAGTGCAATGGCACTATCTCAGCTCACTGCAACCTCTGCCTCCCAGGTTCAAGCGATTTTCCTGACTCAACCTCCCTAGTAACTGGGATTACAGGCACCTGCTACCATGCCCGACTAATATTTGTGTTTTCAGTAGAGGTGGGGTTTCACCATGATGGCTGGGCTGGTCTCGAACACCTGGTCTCAAGTGATCCACCAGCCTCGGCCTCCCAACGTATTGGGATTAGAGGCATGAGCCACCACACCCAGCCTACTGCCATACATTTCTATACTCTGATATATATGGGTTTCTTTTCTTGTGGTTTTTTTGTTTGTTTGTTTGTTTGTTTTTGAGACGGAGTCTTGCTCTGTCACCCAAGCTGGAGTGCAGTGGCATAATCTCAGCTCACTGCAGCCTCCGCCTCCCAGGGTCAAGTGATTCTCCTGTCTCTGTCTCCCAGGTAACTGGCACTACAGATGTGTGCTACCACACCTGGCTAATTTTGCATTTTTAGTAGAAACGGGTTTTACCATGTTGGCCAGGCTGGTCTCGAACTCCTGACCTCAGGTGATCCACTCGCCTCGGCCTCCCAAAGTGCTGGAATTACAGGTGTGAGCCACTATGCCCAGCTATAGTTTGCTTTTCTACATTTTCACCTAAAGCAGATTCTGAAAACATTTTATTTTTATTTTTTGTTTGTTTCTTTTTATTTGATCTTCTTTTTTTTTTTTAAACAGAGTCTCACTCTCACCCAGGCTGGAGTGCAGTGGCACGATCTCAGCTCTCCGCAGCCTTTGCCTCCTGGGTTCAAGTGATTCTCATGCCTAAGCCTGCTGAGTAGCTGGGACTATAGGTACATGCCACCATGCCCAGCTGATTTTTCATATTTTTTTTTTTCTTTAGTAGAGACAGGGTTTCACCATGTTGGCCAGGCTAGTCTCGAACTTCCAACCTCAGGTGATCCACCTGCCTCAGCCTTCCAAAGTGCTAGGATTACAGACATGAGCCACCATGTCCAGCCTCTAAAAATCTTTTAAATTTGAATGTATTCTTTTTGAATTACACTAGTTATACATGAATACATGCTTGTGAAAATTTCAAATAAAGCACAAGTATAAAGAGTAAATTTCTTTCCATTCTCCTCCGTATTACTCTTCTTAGAGGTTATTATGACACTACTAATAGTTTATCATTTAGTATGCATCATTCTAGAACTTTTTCCAGAAGCAAAAAAATGTATATTTTACACTTCTGTTTTGTTATTGTTGCTGTTGAGACAGGGTCTTACCCTGTCACCCAGGCTGGAGTGCAGTGGTGTGATTGTAGCTCACTGCCTGCCACCTTGAGCTCCTGGACTCAAGCAGTGATCCCACCTTAGCTGCCTGAGTAGCTAGTAGTACAGTTGTGCACTGCCACACCCAGCTAAGTTTTTGTTTTTAGAGGTGGGATCTTGCTATGTTGCCCAGGCTGGTCTTGAACTTCTGGCCTCAAGTGATCCTCCTGCCTCTGCCTCCCAAAGTGCTGAGATTACATCATGCCTGGACCTAGGCTTCTATTTTTTATATTAATGTGGTCATTCTGTCTTGATGACTTTCTCATGTACGTAATGACTTAAAAATATATATAGTATTATCCTCAGTCTGGATACAGCAGAATTTACTTAATAATTCTCCTGTTTTGGGCATTTAGATTGTTTCCAGTTGTAAACAGAACTCTACTTGTATCACGCATTTTTGTGCACCTGTGGTGGGACTATGTGAGACAGAATTTTGGAAGTGAAAATCAGGGTGGAAGATTGCTATATATTAGATTTTGAAAGATAATGCTGTATCATCCTTCACAAAAACTATCAGTTACATGTGCCCACCAGCAGTGTGTGAAAATATCCATTTCTTATCAACAATGGATTATACCCATCTTTTTATTTTTTGGCAGTTTTATTGGCAAATCATATTACATTTTAGTATACATGTCCCTGATTACCATGAGGTAGACTCTCCAGTGATTTGAAATTATTTGATCATATGTTTCAGCCCTTTTGCTATTGCCGTCTTTTTTTGTGTTAATTGGTACTCTATGATGGAAAGAAGTCTTTTATTTAATTATGTGTTGATACTATTTTTCCCAGTCTTACGACTTATATTTAATTTTATTATATAGAATATTATAGGTTTGGTTTGTTTGTTTGTTTTCTGTTTTGAGAGAGTCTCACTCTGTCGCCCAGGCTGGAGTGCAGTGGCGTGATCTCAGCTCACTGCAGCCTCCGCCTCCCAGGTTCAAGCAATTCTTCTGCTTCAGCCTCCCATGCAGCTGAGATTACAGGTTCCTGCCACCATACCCAGCTAATTTTTTGTATTTTTATTTTTATTTATTTATTTATTTATTTTTTTTTTTTTTTTTGAGACGGAGTCTCGCTGTGTCACCCAGGCTGGAGTGCAGTGGCCGGATCTCAGCTCACTGCAAGCTCTGCCTCCCGGGTTTTTACGCCATTCTCCTGCCTCAGCCTCCCGAGTAGCCGGGACTACAGGCGCCCGCCACCTCGCCCAGCTAGTTTTTTGTATTTTTTAGTAGAGACGGGGTTTCACCGTGTTAGCCAGGATGGTCTCGAACTCCTGACCTCGTGATCCGCCCGTCTCGGCCTCCCAAAGTGCTGGGATTACAGGCTTGAGCCACCGCGCCCGGCCAATTTTTTGTATTTTTAGTAGAAACGGGGTTTCACCATGTTGGCCAGACTGGTCTTGCACTTCTGACCTCAGGTGATCCACACGTCTCGCCTCCCAAAGTGCTAGGATTACAGGTGTGAGTCACCATGCCCGGCCAGAATATTATGGCTTTAATACAGAAAAATCTATCAGTCATTCTTGTATTGACTCTCGTCTTGCTTATGTAGAACAATATTTTTTACCCTTCCTTATATTTTTGAGTATGGATTATGATTCTGTTAGTGTTATGTTCCCCAGGAGTGACAATAAGGAACACCAAATTTTTTTTTCTAGAGAAATCAGTGGGGTAAGCTGGGCGTGGTAGCTTATACCTGTAATCCCAGCAGTTTGGGTGGCCAAGGCAGGCAGATTGCTTGAGTCCAGGAGTTCAAGACCAGCATGGGCAACATGGTGAAATCCTGACTCTACACAAAAAAGAAAAATTAGCCAGGTGTGGTGGTGCATACCTGTAGTCCCAGCCACTCGGGAGGCTGAGGTAGGAGGATTGCTTGAGCCCGGAAGGTAGAGGTTGCAGTGAGCTGAGATCTCACCACTGCACTTCCAGCCTGGGCAACAGAGCAAGACCCCTGTCTCAAAAAAAAAAAAAAAAAAAAAAAAAAGGAAAGAAATGAGGTAAGCCCATTACCACCTCTGTATGTAAAATTTATGGTGAAGAAAAACAATTAATGACCAAAAACACAGCACCACTTTTCTCATTCCCTTCATTTAAAACTTTTTTGTTGTTTCTGTATCTAAGTGATTTATCCCTCTCCCTGAATTTATACCAACTCCCTGGATGTTTCCTTTCACCTAGATATTGCTGAGGTAACTTTACTTTGTATTATTTGCTTCAAGGAAAAGAGAAAATACCTCATCAGTGTCCCAGATACTCCCGTATGTGTTGCACTAAAAAGATCTGGAACACCTGGCTTGTCTGATGGTGGTGGGTTATCAGAATTTATTAACATTAGTGTCATCCGGGTGCAGTGGCACAAGCCTGTAATCCCAGCACTTTGGGAGGCCGAGGTGGAAGGATCAGTTGAGCTCAGGAGTTCGAGACTAGCCTGGGCAATATAGCAAGAGGATCTCTAGAAAAAAATATGAAAATTAGCTAGGCGTGGTGGCACACCAGTAGTACCAGCTGCTTGGGAGGCTGAGGTGGCAGGATTGCTTGAGCCCAGGAGGGGAAGGCTGCAGTGAGCTGAGATCACACCGCTACACTCTAGCCTGGGCTACAGAGTAAAACCCTGCCTCAAAAAAAAAATTAGTCTCACCAAAGGTGGTATACAACCTCCCACTGTTAAATTTGACTGACTTTAAAAATAAAATGAGATCTAGAATGCCTGATATACTGGGAAATTTGGGGTTCAAAAGCTTAGTCTAGGGCTGGGCGTGGTGGCTCACTCCTGTAATCCAAGCGCTTTGGGAGGCCAAGGTGGGCTGATCACCTGAGGTCAGGAGTTTCAAGACCAGCCTGACCAACATGGTGAAACCCCATCTCTACTGAAATTACAAAATTATCCTAGCATTGTGGCACATGCCTGTAATCCCAGCTACTTGGGAGGCTGAGGCAGGAGAATTGCTTGAACCAGGAGATGGAGGTTGCAGTGAGCCGAGATCACACCATTGCACTCCAGTCAGGGCAACAAGAGCGAAACTTCATCTCAAAAAAAAAAAAAAAAAAAGAAGCTTAGTCTGGGTGGGGTGCAGCTCTCACACCTATAATCCCGGCACTTTGGGAAGCTGAGGCAAGAGGATTGCTTGAGGCCAGGAGTTCAAGACTAGCCTGGACAGCATAGCAAGACCCATCTCTAGCAAAGAAACAAAAGCTAGCTGTAGATTCGCTCCAAGGGAAGTGTATTGTGACGGTTAGATGTTTGAGTAACTCAGAAACATTAGACCTTGGGATCCATTCAGCCTGAGATTGAGTCTCATCTCTTCCTTTACCTAGTGATGAGAACTTGGACAAGTAACCCCTCTGAGCCTCACTTTCCTCATTTAGACTGTGGATAATAATAGGATTGCTGGGGAGGTCCCCTGATGAGAACACATTTTGCACAGTGTGTGCATATAGTGGCTCCTTGGAAAATGATCACTGTGATCTCTTTTGCATGGGGAAATGTATTATTTTCATAGGGAAGAAAAATTTTTTTTTTTTCCTTTATATTGAGAGCTGATGGAACCAGATTTATGTCTTTTTAGACAGGGGCAAGTGTCCGAGTGGTGAATCAGCTACTTACAGAGATGGATGGTCTGGAAGCACGCCAGCAGGTTTTTATTATGGCAGCCACTAACAGGCCAGGTAAGAAATAAAAATATTGTAACGCAGATGAATCTAAAAACTTACAGCATTTCCATAGAAGAGATTCAGATAATTAAAAGTAAAAACTTGTAGCATTTATAAACAATATAATTCACACGCATCCTAGGAAAGGAAGATTAAATTTGGACAATCCCTTTCTGGTTCTGTGAAAGGAAACTTCGTAGTTGAAATAAAGGCTTAGAAAGCTTTTGCATAAGCTATAGTAAAAAGCATAGTATTACTGCTTGGATCCCATGAGATTGCTTTTCTGTGTTTGTGCTTAGAAAGCTCTTTTTTGGCTGAGAACAGTTGCAGCATACACTCTTTTCTTTTTTTTTTGGAGACAGAATCTCACTTTGTCACCCAGGCTGGCATGCGGTGGCATAACCTTGGCTCACTGCAACCTCTGCCTCCTGGGTTCAAGTGATTCTCCTGCCTCAGCCTCCTGAGTAGCTGGGATTACCGGTGCTGCCACCATGCCCAGCTATTTTTTGTATTTTTAGTAGAGATGGGGTTTCGCCATGTTGGCCAGGCTGGTCTTGAACTCCTGAACCTCAGGTGATCCGCCCAACTCGGCCTCCCAAAGTGCTGGGATTACAGACGTGAGCCATTGCACCCGACCGGCATACACTTTTGACCACAAAAGTATTTTAAGAATTTGTGTTTTATGGTTTCTCGCTAGCTTATAGGAAATAAAAACCATACTCTTCACTCTACTAGAAGTTAAAGATAGATTTTTAAGGTTTTATGCTGGAGCCATGCCCTCATATCTGCCCTTAATGATTACTGAAAATTGTTTTCAAGGTTAAGCATTCTTTGAGAGATTCAGAAAAGGGCTCAAGACTATAGAAGTGCAGAAGGTGGCTCAGAGTTACAACTCTAATCACATGCTTGATCTTTCTGGTGATCAGTCCCCTGCCTGAAGCTATCTGTGGGGCCACTATGTGTCACCATATTAGCTCAACAAAGATATTCCTGGCATTCAGGAAATTGCAAGGATTTTTGAAGGTCTATGCCAGGAACGGTGGGCAAAGACCAATTATGTTCTGTATTATACCATAGTAACCTTGGGACTATATTACTTCATCTTGCTGACCATCATTTTGGCACTTTTAAAATGAGGATGATAATACTTAATTGGCAGGATTGCCACAAAGGTTAAATGATGTTGGTAATGTATCTACCACAGTGGTAGTAAACAGCAGGTAGCTATTTAGTAAGTATTATCATGTTCATAAGCAGTTTGGTAATAGTAGTGGGAACAGTCATTAGGTCATAAAATCACAGAGTCATCCTAGAAGAAAGTCCCTCAGAGTTGAACAGAATCACATTTTCCCTTTCATAAGAAGATACAGATCTTTTCTCACATATTTCAAAAAGATGCTTGTCTTAGTCTGTTTTGTGTTGCTATAATAGAATACCTGAAACTGGGTAATTAGTGTTAAAAAGAAGAGATTCAGTTCTTCTAGTTCAGGAAGCTGGGAAGGTCAAGATTGAGTGGCCTGCATCTGTCAAGGGCCCTCTTGCTGCATCATCCCAAGGTGAAAGGGTGGAAGAGCACAAGAGCATGCATGAGAGAGCAAAAGGAAAGTGGCCTGGACAGGAAGAAACCATGGTCCCATGAATAAGGGTGGACAAATAAAGTTTAATTAATTTTACCCTATCTTTGGACATTTATCTCAACTGCCTGAGCTGAACAACTGACTGTTTTCCTCAGCCTACCAAAAAGCATTTTGTATAGCAAAAGATTGGTTTCATTAGAGGAAACCTGGAGAAGAGAGAAGCAGAGAGAGGGGGATCCTGGGGAGTAGGAAATGAGGGCCGTGTTTCTCTCAAAAAAGCCTCTTGGAAGAAATACAATTGATCTAGTTTTTTCTGGTGTGTGATCATCCTTTTTAAAGTGAGGAGCATAAATTAGTAAGGATGGGCTTAATATCTGTTGGTGGTGAGACAAGAAAATGCTAAAATTATTATCTGTTACTTTATTTAATTGTACTATCTGGTTTTGATGTATGGCTTGTCATGTATGCAGTGCATTAATAATATCATACAGAAACATAGTTAATAAATGATTAGACATTAAAAAAAGGAAGAAAGTGGCCAAGCTGGGCATGGTGGCTTATGCCTGTAATCCTAGCACTTTACAAGGTCGAGACAGGAGAATCGCTTGAGCTTGGGAGTTTAAGACCAGCCTGGGCAACATAGTGAGACCTTGTCTCTATTATTTAAAAAATAGAGAGAGTGGCTAAACATATCCTTTGATCAAGAGTCCACTCCTGCAATAACTTACCCACTCCCTTGGAACCAGCATTATTCATGAGTCAGAGCCCTCATGACCTCATCACTTTTTAAAGGCCCCACCTCTCAACACTGTTTTATTGGGGATTGAGTTTCCAGCACGTGAACTTTGGGGAATACGTTCAAACCACAGCATCAGTCTTTCGTTTCCTGTATAACATATTCTATCGTTAACAGCCCTTACCATATTTTAAGTTTGTTTATTTTATTATTTATTTATTTATTTTGAGACAGAGTCTTGGTCTGCTGCCCAGACTGGAGTGCAGTGGCGTGATCTCAGCTCACTGCAACCTCTGCCTCCCGGGTTCAAAGGTTTCTTCTGCCTCAGCCTCCCAAGTAGCTGGGATTACAGGCACGTGCCTCCACGCCCAGCTAATTTTTGTATTTTTAGTAGAGATAGGGTTTCACCGTGCTGACCAGGCTGGTCTCAAACTTCTGACCTCAGGTGATCTGCCTGCCTCGGCCTCCCAAAGTGCTGGGATTACAGGCATGAGCCACTGCGCCTGGCCTGTTTATTTTAAAACCTGTGTTAAGAATGGCAGATGAATCATAATGTGGTACCGGTGTTTTGTTTTTTTCCCTATGTATGTATATTGTCTTCCCCTAAAACTCTTCCATCCTTTTTTCCCCTTTAACAAATCTGTTGCATTAATGACCTACATTTAAAAATAAATGATCTGGCTGGACACGGTGGCTCATGCCTGTAATCCCAACACTTTGGGAGGCCGAGGCCGGCGGATCATAAGGTCAGGAGATTGAGACCATCGGCTAACACGGTGAAACCCCATCTCTACTAAAAATACAAAAAAATTAGCTGGGCATGGTGGCATGCGCCTGTAGTCCCAGCTACTTGGGAGGCTGAGGCTGAGGCAGGAGAATTGCTTGAACCCAGGAGGTGAAGGTTGCCATGAGCCAAGATTGCACCACTGCACTCCAGCCTGGGCGGCAAAGCGAAACTGTCTCAAAAAATAATAATAGTAATAATAAATGTTCTAGATCTTCTTCACTTGTTTTCATGCTTATTTGGCAGTTCTGCTCCATTGTATACTATCATGTGACATTGTTTTGATTGCTTATAACTTCTTGTCTGCTTAGCTTTAAGAATTTCCTCCTTGGTCGGGTGCGGTGGCTCAAGCCTGTAATCCCAGCACTTTGGGAGGCCGAGACGGGCAGATCACGAGGTCAGGAGATCGAGACCATCCCGGCTAACACGGTGAAACCCCGTCTATACTAAAAAAATACAAAAAACTAGCCGGGCGTGGTGGCGGCACCTGTAGTCCCAGCTACTCAGGAGGCTGAGGCAGGAGAATGGCGGGAACCCAGGAGGCGGAGCTTGCAGAGAGCTGAGATCCGGCCACTGCACTCCAGCCTGGGTGACAGAGCGAGACTCCGTCTCAAAAAAAAAAAAAAAAAAAAAAAAAAAATTCCCTCCTTGTTTGATATTCTGGTTAGCCATTGCTGCATAACAAACTACTGTAAAGCTTAGTGCTTTAAAACCACCATTTGTGGCTGGGTGCAGTGACTCACACCTGTAATCCCAGCACTGTGGGAAGCCAAGGATCACTTGAGGTAAAGAGTTCAAGACCAGCCTACTCAACATGGTGAAACTCCATCCCTACTAAAAATATAAAAATTAATTGGGTGTGGTGGTGGGCACCTGCAATCCCAGCTACTCAGGAGGCTGAGGCAGGAGAATCACGTGAACCCAGGAGGCGGAGGTTGCAGTGATCCCAGATCGCACCACTGCATTCCAGCCTGGGCAACAGATTGAGACTCCATCTTAAAAAAAAAAAAAAAAAAAAAATCACCATTTTTGCTTGGCTCACAATTTTTAGGTCAGGAATTTGGGATGGGCTTGTCTGGGTGGTTCATCTTGGATCCACATGCTATCAGCTGGAGTGGCTGGACCAGAGAATCCATTTCCACAGTGGCCTCTTTACTCACAATGTCTTCACAATCCTTGGTCTCTCTCCCAACCGAGCCCCCAAATAATTATCTTTTTGGGGTTTGTTTGTTTTGAGGTGGAGTCTCACTCTGTCGCCCAGACTGGAGTGCAGTGGTGTGATCTCGGCTCACTGCAACCTCTGCCTCCTAGGCTTAAGTGATTCTCCTGCCTCAGCCTCCCGAGTAGCTGGGATTACAGGCATGCACACCACGCCCAGCTGATTTTGTATTTTTTAGTAGAGATGGGGTTTCGCCGTGTTGGTCAGGCTGGTCTTGAACTCCTGACCTCAGGTGATCCGCCTGCCTCAGCCTCCCAAAGTGCTGGAATTACAGATGTAAGCCACCGTACCTGGCCCCAGTTATCATCTTTTAATGCCTCTTCATGTGGCTTGGGCTTCCAGTAGCGTGCTTCTCTCAGGGTGTTTGCACTACTTACATGGTAGGCAGATTCTAAGCGTTGAAAATGGAAGCTGCCATTCTTCTTAAAGGCAAAGTCCAGACTAGGTAAACTCTATTGTTCAGGGTACTGACAGAAAGGCCCAGCTTCTAAAAGGAGAGAAAATGGAAGTGTAAATATATTTGCAGTCGGCTGGGTGCGGTGGCTCACACCTGTGATCCCAGCACTTTGAGACGCTGAGGCAGGAGGATCACCTGAGGTCAGGAGTTCGAAACCAGCCTGGCCAACATGACAAAACCCTGTCTCTATTAAAAGTACAAAAATTAGCCGGGCGTGATGGCGGGCACCTGTAATCCCAGCT